GATTGATTGTCCCGGTTTAAGGTTTGCATTGATTTTAATTTGCAGTTGGAGAGATATGACATGGCCCGGGATGTTATTCTTTCTGGCCTTCAGGTTGATCCTTTTAGGTAATATAGAACTGTATCCATTTTGCTGATAAACAAAACATAGATATTAAGTATATATTGTTTAATACCAGCTGGCTATGATATTCGATTTGTGAATTTCTAAAATGTTATATTATTTTATCTTTTGTGTGGTATTCTGTAGCAATCCTCTTCGGGAATGTTTTCAGAATTTAGAGAGAATACAAGCTAATTTCACAGGGAGGAGAAGCCATAGAAAAGCAGAACGCAGTGATGACTTTGATTGCACACTATGCTTGAAATTACTATATGAACCTGTCACAACTCCTTGTGGGCATTCTTTTTGTCGTTCATGCCTATTTCAGGCAACGGATCGAGGTGAGTGTTTTGCTGTTGCTGATTCTATTTAATTGAGTTAGTCTATATCTTCTAATCCCTTTTTTGTCCTTGACTTGTGAAATTTTCCTAGGTAACAAATGTCCTTTGTGCCGAACAGTTCTTTTCATTAGTCCTAGAACATGTGCAATAAGGTAAATTGCTATATTATAATAATTGAATGTGGTGCTTGTATTATTTGACATCAGAATTATTGCTTTATGGTTTTCTATACCTATGCTGTTTGTAATGGCCATGGTTGCACATCCCCCAGGAGTTCCACCTATTATAGATTGAGTCTGGCATTCTTACTTTTACAGAGTATAACAATTAGTGGATGTGTGGTTCTAGATTTTGGAAATAAAAAAATCCAAGTAATATGAAATTACTAATCTATAAATATGAATTTAGGAAATCATTTTGGTGGGGCCATTCAAACTTTTTTTTCCATCATGCATTCAATGCTAGGCATATATTTTAGGTTTGTCAGCATGATATGTGCTTTCTAATTTTTTGTGCTTAATTAGTGTTATAGCTTTCAGAGTTTACCAAGATTGTTTGCTTCAGTTCTGTGGTCTATCGTCAATATCTTCTTTTTGTTTTTGCCAGTGTGACACTTAACGACATTATACAAAAGAACTTCCCAGAGGAATTTGCCGAAAGGAAGTTGGAGAATGATACAGTGACAAACTTTGGTGTTGATTTGATGCCACTCTTTGTAATGGATGTTGTCCTCCCATTTCAGAAGTTTCCGCTAAACATTTTTGAACCTCGGTATAGACTTATGGTAAGTTGGTTAGCAGTTTATATTTTTCACATATGACATTCATAAAATATTTAAACGTAGAAGTGCATTTGCTGCAAAAGAACTATGTTGACAAACTTATCTGGCAAGTTTTATATACCTACTTGGTACATTTCTACAGTCCATGTGATCCATATGTTTTGTTGTTTTTGTTGAATATTCATAGATTTTTCTTGTACCTTGTCACTTAAACAACAGGTAAGGAGGATAATGGAAGGCAACCGTCGCATGGGAATGGTAGATTATTGTAACTGGTCCTTTTCTTTCCCTTTTAACTTTCTTAAGGTATATAAAGTTTGACCCAAAGTATAGTTTCATTGATTGTGGCTTGTTTTTTAAATTTTGTAGGTTATCATTGATTCTTCAACAGGTTCAATAGCTGATTTTGCTTGTGAAGTGGAAATTACTGAGTAGGTCTTTCATCCTCCTCCTTTCCTTCTTAATTTTCTAGTATGTAGAATGTCATTTGTAAACTCCACTACCATGCTTCCTCTTTTTAAAGAAAAAAATTATTATTTATGTAGGTGTGAACCATTTCCAGATGGACGTTTATATTTAGAGGTTAGATACTAGTGCCTTTTACTTCAATCTGTACTTTTGCACTCTGTTTACATTGTTTTAATGCATTATGAATGCTAAAACTGATCTACTTTTCATTTAATGTACAATTATCCTTTATTTTTGGTCTTTATTTAAACACCTGAGGCTGCAAATTAACTAATGGGCTTATCTATGCTAAATATTTCCATGTCCGAACGTATTTTGTTTGAAGTTTTTATTTTTATTTTTATTTTTTTTATAATTTTTTTTTAGTGATCCATTCACATACTTATAATATACTATTTCATGCAGATTGAAAGTCGCCGACGGTTTCGTATAATTCGATCTTGGGACCAAGATGGGTGAGTTGTCTTATGAGATGTCTAGCGATTCATTTGATCTTTAGTTACTGCTCTTGTTCAATATTTTTGTCTTTTGATGTGCTCTTCAGGTACCGTGTTGCAGAGATTGAATGGGTACATGACATATATCCACCAGAAGGGTCTAGAGAGAGAGTAGACGTAAGTTCATGATAATTTGGTTTGCTGTAATATCTCTATTGGAGTGTGCTCTTTTCTTTTATATTTTATTTTTAAATTTTTTGTTGTAGAAAATAATAAGAAGCTTGAGTTAAACTTGATCTGGTGCTTAACAATGCTTTTTAGTTTTTTTTAAAATATAAAATAAAAAATTAATCACACATTTTTCTAGATGCAAAGTTGCGTAGTTTTCAACTTCAATTGGCAAAACTTGAGATACAGAAAGCATAGCTTAAAAGTGTTGTGGATAAGGCATCTTATTTTACATGTGACACGTGACCTAATGGAATTTGGTTGTAAATCTTCAAATGTATTATAGTTGTCACTGAATTAAGTCTAATAATGTCATTGCTAAAAGGCCCTGTAGCTAATGTATTAATAGCCTGAAGTATAGCATGCATCACTGTAGGAAGATGCAGGACAAAGTTCTTCCATTTTTCCCCCCTCATTTTGGTTGCACCTATATGATTTAACTTCTATGTCTGTACAGTTGCAGGAATTGACAAATAATGCAGCAGAGTATGCTCGGTTATGGATAGGGCGGGGTAAAAGAGCAGCGCGTCAAGGTAAAATGCTCAGGAATGACATCTAGTGAATGAAGTCGGAATTTGCCTTCTTTTTTGTTTTTTTAATGGGTGTCTCCATAAGTTAAATCTCTTAGTCCTCTATAATAGGTATTTGGATGACCATTACAAATATCCTGACTCAGATTTTCCATTATTTTGGGTGAATATTACTGCCCGACTGAGATTGCATGTTTCAATTTGGTGGTCAGTTGTAATGGTTGGAAATGAAAGATTAGTTTTACTAGGTTAAACCTTTTGTTCCACTGAAATGTCTGTCACGTTCAGATTTCATCTTTAGGAAGCTTCTGCTTGGAACATTTGGGGAGGATCTTTATCTCTAGATCAACAGATCTTATTTACTTGTGACAATTTGTCCTTATTCAAGCCATGAAAAGTTTCAGTCTATATGTAATGCCAATGTACATAAGAATGTTCTTGTGTTCAGTATCCCTATGTGCCCTTTTGATGTATGATAGTATCTCTTTACAGATCGAAGACGACTTGAGAGACTTCTCGGCATGGAAGCGATGATGCCTTCACTACAAGATCCTGAGTGCTTCAGCTTCTGGGTAACTTTATATTTCTCTTTATTAAAATTGAGTATATTGTGGGCTGTGATTGCCGGTATTGATGTATGATTGGATGCAGCTTGCTTCTTTATCGAACCGACGTCCAAATGAAAGGTTGGATCTCCTACGCTTGCGAGATACAAGAGAGGTATTGCACTTTTCTCCCCTCTTCACCTTGGGAATTTCAGGTGCACGTGGGTGTGGTATATGTAAGAATGAGATGCTACTTCTCATCTAACACATGTTGTTTGAAATCTCATTTATAATAGTTCGTATATCAATGGCATATGACCTCGGTACCTTCAATTGATTTCAAAACAGGGTTGCAAACTTCTCTTCGTTGTCTCATTAGATTGTTTTGTATCCAATTTTTCATTTGCAGAGAATACAACGTGGACTGATATATCTTAGAGCAGAAGAGCAGAGTTGTCAAGTGCAATGAGAAAAAGGCTGTAATTGAGTTTAGTTCATAATTATGATGGATACACTTTAGAAAGTAAATTCTTATACAAGCAATTTTATACTCTTAAATTCAACATTCTTTGATCCACAAAATGTTGGTGGATCCCTATTTTTTGTTGTATTTATGGGTTCAACCTATATCATATCTTATAAATAAAATCTATTTTTTATTCTTGCTCTCTGTCATACTATATTAGCATTAGTCATTTGATTTTCTGGTCACAAAAACTATGAAAGGGAGATACAAAATGTTTAGATTAAAACAAGAAAATTCCTGGTTACACAACAATGCTTTGGTGCCAACCCTGTACTTTTCTACAAGTTCAAGAATTGACTTATAATGAAGATTCGAACCAACCAACATTGGCCTGCATTTTCTTTTGTTTATTTGCTAACCTCTTCGAAGCCGCTCATCTCCATTCTACATGGGAAACACTTAAGGTTGGTTGCCTGCAAACCTAGCATGCATGCTCCAATTCTTATTTTCAAATAAATACCCCTAATTTAATATATGAGTATAAAATATAAAATACCCCTAATATATGAGTCTAAAATGTGACAACCATAACTTTGTTGAAATTGTGTTTACGTCCAAAACCACGTTGCCACCATATAATTTTGTGTTGAGGATAAGGCTTGCCCTAGTAAAAATATTACAATGACAATCTTAGTTGCTTTGAGGGCCCAACGCATAGCTCGCTTCCCTCTCAACTCCTCTCCCTTTGTTTTACCAAGTCTCTCTCATTCATCACAAACTCAAACAGACAAAACAAACAAAACAATACAAAAACAAACATCTCTGCACGTTTTCCCCTTTCTTGCTTCCAACAACATCCTTTCTCATCTCCATCTTCTCTTTCTGTTTCCTCCAACTGTCTAAGCATTTTTGTACATTCGTACATGCCCGAAATCCACGTATACCTTCTCTCCCCCATAACCCCACCAACCTCCTCGTTCTTGAGTTAAGCTCTTGCATTTTTGGGCCCAATTCTATTACTATGATCTATCCTCCATTGCCGCCACCACTGCCATTGCCACCGTCATTTCCTCCTCCTTAATTTGCACCATCATAGACATCAATGGGGAGAGAGATAAATGGGGCATCAATGCCTCAGCCCTTCTCCTCCCTACCCTTTCTCTTCCTTCTCCTGTGCGTATTAACATTCAGCCTCACAAGCTTTGTTTCAGCCAAAGGCAATGACTCTTCTCCTCCTACAGCCACATTCTCTCCTTCTGATAATTTTCTCATCGACTGTGGCTCGTCACAACAAACCAAACTCAATGATGGCAGGACATTCAAATCGGACCGTGACACGTCTAGTCTCTTGTCCACAAACGAAGATGTGCAGGCTTCAGTTGATTCAATCACTGCCAATGCCTCTTCCAATATAGCATCTTCCTCTCAGCCATTGTATCGCACCGCAAGAATTTTCTCTGAAAAATCCACCTACACTTTCTACATTAACAAACCAGGCCAGCATTGGATTAGGCTTTACTTCCATCCACTTCCACACCAAACATATAATTTGACAAGCGCTGTTTTCACAGTAAACACAGATAAGTATGTTCTTTTGCATGACTTCTCTGTGACAGACAGTACCACCTTGGTGTTTAAAGAGTACATTCTCAATGTCACAGAAAACCGGATTTCTCTCCATTTCAGTCCCAAGAAGAAATCCTGTGCATTTGTCAATGCTATTGAGGTTGTGTCTGCTCCTGATACTCTGTTCAATAATTCAGCCACATCAGTTTCACCGGTTGGTGACTTCAATGGCTTATCTAATTATGCTTTTCAAGTTCAATACCGGTTAAATGTTGGAGGTCCATTGCTATCTCCTGCAAATGACACATTGTCAAGGACTTGGGAGCCTGATAATGCATATAATGCATTTCCACAAGGAACTCAAAATGTGTCTGTGGCTCCCAAAGCCATCAAGTATCCAGAGAGTGGGGCTACTGTGTTGATTGCCCCGAATTTGGTTTATGCATCCGCTCAACACATGAAAGACTCTGCTACAAGTCAACAGAATTTTAACCTCACCTGGAAGTTGAATGTTGAAGAGGACTTTTCCTATTTGATCAGAATGCATTTTAGTGACATTGTGAGCAAGGCCCTTAATACTTTGTATTTCAATGTATATGTCAATGGGATGTCGGCCGTGTCCAATCTTGACCTTTCTTCACTCACGGGTGGCCTTTCCACTGGTTATTACAAAGATTTTGTGCTCAACGCCACATCAATCTCCAGTGAAAATAATACCATACGGGTTCAGGTTGGTCCCGGTAGTACTCAGTCAGGCTCTCAGGATGCACTTCTTAATGGATTGGAGATCCTAAAGATGAGCAACATAGCGGATAGCTTGGATGGTCTTTTCGGTGTTGATGGGTCATACAAGGGACCTACAGGAATAAGTACCATGAAGATAGTTGCAGGTGTTGGCTTGGGAATGGGATTGACAGCAATGTTGTTAGTTGTTGTAGTTATTGTGAGGTGGCAAAGAAGACCTCAAGGTTGGGAAAAGAGAAATAGCTTCTCATCATGGCTGCTTCCTCTACATTCCAGCCAATCTAGCTTATTCTCCAGTAAGAGCAGCTCAAGAAGATCAGGCGTCTTCGGCTCACGCAAGAGCAAAAGTGGTCACTCAACCTATTTCTCTTCAACTAATTGCTACGGAAGGTCCTTCACCTTCAGTCAATTACAAAATGCAACACAAAACTTTGATGAGAAGGCAGTGATTGGTGTTGGTGGTTTTGGAAAAGTGTATCTTGGGGTGTTGGAAGATGGTACTAAGCTTGCTATAAAAAGAGGGAACCCAAATTCAGAGCAAGGCATTAATGAATTCAGAACAGAAATGGACATGCTCTCCAAGCTACGCCATCGCCACCTCGTTTCACTAATTGGGTTTTGTGATGAGAATGCGGAGATGATCCTTGTGTATGAGTACATGGCTAATGGACCGCTTCGTGACCACCTCTATGGCTCAAACCAACCACCATTGTCATGGAAACAAAGGCTTGAGGTTTGCATTGGCGCTGCTCGCGGTTTACATTACCTGCATACCGGTGCAGCACAAGGTATCATACACCGTGATGTAAAGACAACAAACATTCTCCTGGATGAGAATTTTGTTGCAAAAGTTTCTGATTTTGGCCTGTCGAAAGCTGCACCAACGTTGGAACAAACTCATGTCAGCACAGCTGTGAAGGGTAGTTTTGGTTATCTCGATCCTGAGTATTTCAGGAGGCAACAGCTTACTGAGAAATCTGATGTTTACTCTTTTGGTGTGGTGCTTTTTGAGGCACTGTGTGCAAGGCCTGTTATAAACCCGGCGCTGCCAAGAGAGCAGGTGAGTTTGGCTGAGTGGGCAATGCAATGGCACAGGAAGGGTATGATTGAGAAGATAATTGACCCTTATATTGCTAGCTCAGTCGACTCTGGTTCCCTGAGGAAGTTTGTAGAAGCTGCAGAGAAATGCCTGGCTGAATATGGTGTTGATAGGCCTACCATGGGAGATGTATTGTGGAACTTAGAGTACGCTTCACAGCTTCAAGAGGCAGCCTCACAGATTGATCCTCCAGAAGATAAAACTTCGAGTCTCATTTCTTTGGAAAAACCGAGTGAAAATGACTCAAAGGAAGGCTCTGCTGTGGGCTCTGCTGTTGGAGTGAATGATGATTCTGAAGTGACAATTGGTTCTCCTGCGTTTGCTCAAAAGGGAAATATCCAGGGGAGGTAATTGGCCATACTTCCAATTGTTCAAGTTCTATGCTGTGTGATGAATCAGGCTTTGATTGAATTACTTATGTTCCCAGTTTGTGAAAATCGACCAAAAAAAATGTTTGAGAAAAGCTTCTAGATAGGTCTCTTTCTTGGTTTTTAATAATTCTGTAAGATATTAGTGATTACCTGCTAAGTTGTCAAAGCAGTTTGTTTTGAACTTTATCCAACTATAGCATTATCCTCCGTACGTTTTTAGCTTTAAATATCCTCATATTGTATATCTGTGACTTTTTTTCGCTGTCAAGCGCAAACACAATGCTCTTTCCAGGAAAATTACTGCATAGAATTGTTACCAACTCATGAGCTCGAACTTTAAATAATTCTAAAATCTGTCAACACATACGCACATAAAGAGACCAAACCAAATATACAAAAGCTAATATATTTAAACTGGGTCACAAAAACCAGGAACATTGTGCATCTATCTCTAGAGCTTGGGTGCCAGACCTGCTGGTTCCTTACTTTGTCCGCTAAAATTTGTTAGCAGAGCTCAAACTTGTGCCATTGCAACTTGAGATTGGGATCCTCTCTCCTTAGAGATGACTGGAGCATTAGCTTGGTGTTGCAATTTGCAAACCCCCCAATGTTTTCAGCTCTGTTATTGTACTGGCCTTCCTAATCTCACCAATTCAGCAGCTAATGATGTGTATTTCTTTAAGTCAATTAGCCAGTTTTGAAGCCAGAACTCTATGCCGAGCTACCAGAACTTCGTTCATCTGAGCAATTTGGTGCAGGAGTTCATTAATTTTCTGCAAATGCACCAAATCAACAATAAGGAGACTATATTGAAAATAAAGTTATCAGCTTTTTCATTGTTGGGCAAATCAAATTTCAACGAACACACAAAAGTCAATCAAATTTCATACACTTTAAGAACATGGATGATCAGCTAACCTCATCTTTCTCTTTCACAATCAATTTCAAATGATTCCGATACCGCCTTTGCCGAGCGCGCAAGTACAAGGACAATAACATGAACACCCCAGCCGCCATGCCCGCGCCAGAGGCAAAGCACCAAACTTTATCGAACCCAAATGAGGAAGCCATGGCAAAAAGCTTGGAACGCACTACTTCAACCCCAATTCCTATCCAGGTGGTGCCTTGACCAGGTTTACGGACCTGCGTACCTGACGATAACGGTGAAACAGGGCCTGATTCATCGGAATCGGAAGGTGAAAAAGAGGACAGCGACGACGACGAAGAAGATGATAGTGATGGAGAAGATGGCAATGGCGATAATGGGTCAGAGTGTTGTTGATTGGGTTGTGATGGAAGGTGGAGATTTTCGTGGTTGATTGGAGGGAAGACAGAGCAGTCATTGGAGGATGAGAGAGGAGAGTCTCTGATGGCGACCATGGAGCATTCCTTCAAATGGGTTTTGGGGATTTGTTTGAATTCGAAGCCCTCTGGAGCAAAGTGCTCGCCCACCATTTTTCACTTGGCTGCAAGACTCAAGAAAACACCATGGAAGCAAAGGATCGCCTCCGTCCTCCGATGGTGTGTCTGTACTCCATCGAAATGGACCAGAGGTGTCAATTTCATCTATTTGATCAATTTGATAGCCAATGCCTCTAAATTTGACCAGATTACGCTGTTCGTCAATTTCACCGTTAAATTAATGACATGGCAAAGTTAAGGCTCGACATGGCCCGGCTCATATCTTTAGGCGGGCCAGGACAAGATAATTCAACCTAATGAGCCGAGTTGGCCAGTAGTCCGTCATGGGCTGTGCAAGTCGGGCCGGCCCTTTTAAAACTCCTAAGTCTATTTCTTTTCTTTAATAATATATATTAAAATTTTCAATTTTTAAAACCCAAATAATAATCTAGATTTTTTCAAATAAAGTTATTGACCTCTTTTTTCAACAAATAATAAATCTTATTTGTATATACATATGAATATAAAAAAGCTTAAACTGAAGTTGTAAAAAAAGTTACAAGAAAAATACAATACATAAGTCAAGTTTGACGTGGCCAATATCGGCCCATTTAGTGGCACAACACAAGCCCAGCCCAATCCTATATGGGCTAGGGATGTGAACTCGAGTCGGACTTGATGATTTTATAAATGGACCGGTACAACACGACCTTTTATTAAAAGAACCGAATTTAGAATCAACCCGCCAACTCCCGAATTGACCTACTTGACACATATACTACTTATTTTTTATTACTTATTATTAATAATTGATATGTGGCATGCGTGTATTGGCATATTATATTCTATTCCACCTAGGATAGTGGATTGCAACCCTTTCAAAAGAAAACCTTTAGCCTAAGTCGATCTCCTCATTCTAATTCTCATCTCTACTTTGAATTCAGTCTAAGACACACACAAACCCTAAAATCACACCCAAGAGTTCTTGATTTTGTGGCCTTTTATTGTGACGGTGGTTTTGAATTCCATAGAGTTCTTGATTTGGCAAATGTTGATGTGACTCGAGCAGTTGTTCAGTTTTGTTGTCTAATTGTCCAGTTCTTGGAAGATTATCAGTGTATGGTGCCACTAGACATTGTCCTCGCCTTAGAAGCATTAAGATTTATGATGCAAACCTTGTGTCATTTATTTATGTGGGGTTGGTAATGGGTCGTGTCATGTCAAGAATGCTCAATTAAAATCCGGCCTATTTAATAAACGTGTTGAAGCAGGTTCGAGTTGTGTTGAGCATGTTATTAAACAAATAACATGTTTAATAAATTATACTGTATTTAGATTATTCTGTGTTGAGCATGTCATATTCCCCAATGGAATATGGTTTGAGAACTCAAAACAATGTCTGGCTGAACTTAAAAGGGTTTGAGAACTCAAAACAATGTCTTTTGTTCCAACAAGGGAACTCCCTCTGAGCCAAAGTTGGAGAAGTTAAAGTTGGGATTTCGCTTGGGAGACTGACCTTACATTTTACAAAATGAACTGTACAAGCACACAAATTGTATAGTTGATGGAACTATTTGTTTAAGTTGGTGCATGGCATGATCTCTTGCCTCTTCTTCCTCTTTGAAGTCTTCATTCTCTTATTCGCCCCGGTGTGATGAAAACACCAACACCTAACGGGATCAATAACAAGTTTCTCTAGTGCAATCTACCATGTCATCTATCAAATAGGAATACCTACATGAAGTGTAAGTCTTCGCAAGCAAGGAGATGCCTTTATGAAAGAAGTTAATTGATGAAGAATCCATTGATCATCTGCTCGAACTATAAGCTCCAAATGCTTAAGATTTGCTAATATAGGAACATGGAATATGTTGCTATACTGCGGCCAAATACAGACTAATTAAGGAACACGTAATCCAACAAAAAGAAAACAGAACCAAGTACACATGATAATTAAAAATACTAACCTTACTATTGATATTCAACATAAGAGTCTCTAGTTGAGAAAGACAGCATGAAAGTTTGGTGAAGGCAAGAGTCAGGACATATACACTGCTCTTGAAATGTTATGCATCCTCGAAAATGGATACCTCAACAAGCAATGGCACATTACTGAGAAGCAAGTTTTCCGTATGTCCAACATAAATAAATGACACAAGGTTTGCCTCACAAATCTAAATTCTTCAAAGGCCATGACAATGTCTTATGGATAAATAATTGAGTGCAATTGATGGACGGACAACTCTTACATGAACCAAATTTGTTGCACAAAACACTGATAATTGTTTGAGAACTGGACAATTAGACAAGATGTAGTCAAGAACTTCTCGAGTCACATCAACATTTGCCAAATCAAGAACTCTAAGGAACTCAAAACCACAGTGTGGACTTGGAATGCCGCAATAAGGCGTTGTCAAAGAGGGACTCCTTTTCAAGACCTAATAGTGTGGAGGGAAAGCATAGGAATCTTCGGAAAAAAACAGCATACTCTAGAAGAAGGTCGAGCACAAGCACTTGCACTCTCTTTTCCATTGCAAATTGAATCCATTTATCAATGGAACTGGTGAAACGACGATCTAAATCAAAGCAAAACCCTGAATTGTTCGAAATTTGAGCCTCTATGTTGTTTCAACACATGATTGACCCAATTGGCGTTGTTTTGAGGGACTTTGAAGCTGCGTAACATGACATCAACATCAAGATAGAGAGAATATGCTCACACTGATTTCATGTGGCAGTTCATGGATTCCGGCCACCAAATTGTACTCATCCTTCACAAGAAAGAAAGAAAAGCAATAAGATGCATGCAGTTACATCTATGCTATGACTAAAACAGATTAGAGAACTTACAAGGAATTTTCAGGCTTTCTTTTCAGATCTTTGTTCTCTGCTTTTCCGCATCTTTGGGTTTGTTTCTTTCCCATAAGAATCGTATTTCATCTTCTCTATCCAAATAGCACCACGCTGAAGACAAATTTATCAAGGAAATTGGCGGTCGGAAACTGCCAAGTAAATAATGAATCAAAGAAGGGCAAAATTCTCTTAATAGCCTATCTATACTAGGGTATACTTACCAATCCTTGTTTACAAGGACTGAAAAAGAGGAAGCTGTAATTTCGACCCGAAAACAAGGAAGAAGTAAAAATCCCAAACTTTCTCCACAACTCTGCAACACAAAAGCTACAAAAAAGGCAAACAGCCGAGAAAATAAAACAGAGAAAAGATGGGCATAATATAAAGAAACAAATCCAGTTATAAAATCATGACGTAGGTCGTTGCTCTTGTTCGTAGGAATATAAAACCACGACGCAGGCCGTGATTATTTCGTGAATAAGACATTTAAAAACGTGCATAAAGAAAATAACGACGTAAATTAGCTGCGCGGCTATACTCTTTGAATAAAAAAATATATTTAAAGCGTATCGCCGAACGGCTTTACTCTTTGATTTAAAAAATATATTTAAAGCGTACAGCTGCGCAGAGATACTCTGTGAATAAAAAATATATAAAAGAGTACAGCGGCTTTGAATAAAAAATAGGGAGTTTCACTAAAACACCCAAAATGGGGATTGAAATTATAAAAAAACCCAAGCACTATTTAAACATATAAACACACCCAAAATCCATCATTACACACACTCAAAACCCATTTATAAACACACCCAAAAAGTTGACTTTGGGGTTGATTTTGGGTGTGTTTTTATGTTTAAATAGTGATTGAGTTTTTTTATAAATACATGTCTATGATTGGGTTTATTTATAAATTTGTATAAAAAATATATTTCAAGATTAAAGCCGCGCGGCTATACCCCTTAAATAAAAATATTTAAATAATATAGCCGCTCGGCGATACTCTGAATAAAAAAAATATGAAAGAGTACAGCTGACCGGCTAAACTATGCGAATAAAAATATATATTAAACGGTAAAGCCGCCCGGCTGCACTCTTGGAACAAAAAATAAATTTCATAAGGCAGCTTCTTCTTCTTCTTTGGATTGGGATTGGTGTGGGTACATACAGCTACTAGTAATTTGCCTTTGGTGACGACATTGACATGGTTTCAGAGCCATCCTCCCGCTGATCCTGCTGCTGCTGCTTTGTTCGGTGGTGTTGGAACAACCCTCGCACTCGTCAGACACACTTGCCCCGGCACCACTGGTTTATTCATCTGAATAATCATCATCTCTCTGATATTTTTTCAATTTTCAAATTGAATAGTGGTTGGTTAGTTGCTGCTCTCTCTCTCTCTCTTTGCTTGAGCCTCAAGCCTTGACTGATTAGGTTTTTATTTTGTTGGAGGCGATGACTCCTTAAATAATATATATATATATATATATATAGTATAGCCGCCCGGCTATACTCTTGGGTATAGCCGTACAGCTAGACGTCTTAAGTAAAAAAAATTATTCCGAAAGAGAATGAATGAATTACTTTGCAGTCCAAAGCAACGGGCCACTGTTTTTGCTTCACTGAAAGCCTAGGCTGTGGGCTGTGGATGGCAACGTCACAACATAGGGGCTCTCCACTTGTCTTAAAATAAATATGAATGGGAAGGAAGAAAATGGCAGTCAAAACAGTGACTTTTGATGGAAAAACATATATCTATATTGGCCAAAAGCAATAACTTCTTCCTTTTGGCAAGTTTTTGAAGGGAAAAAAAAACTATATGGCCCACCATATGTGTTTCTTGAAGGCTTTTCTGTTGTTTTAAACCAATGAATGGCATTTGCGTGTAGATCATAAACGTATAGGCTATAATTTTGATTGTTTGCTTCTTTCTTTTTTGCCTTCCCATTAAAAATTCTTTGTTCCGCCTTTGAGTAAAAAAATTTTATATATTAGGTAAGGGATGAAATTTCTGTGCAGGTTCTTGGTTCAAATATTTCATAGGTTTCCGTTGAATTTTTAATCATTTTAGTTATTTTCATCAACTACTAGCCTTGTACTATTCACAGTCAACGGTCTTGGTGTTGTGATCATATCTTTATAAATATGATCGCCTCATGCTTGTTCATTCTCATCTTTGGGTGGATAAGGTGTTGATCCTACAGTACTACTCCACGTAGGAAGATTTCAACTCTTCTTTTTTCCATTGTTTGTCTTTCAGATTATTGGCTCAGTCTTTTTATATCCTCATCACCTGCATGCACAGTTCATCCTTTGTATTCTTGCAATGGGATCTGATTTCTGTTTTCTTGGTGTTGGAAGCTTTCAGTTTCAGAAATGGCGCAATTTGGTGGAAATCCCTTCTTCAGTTGCAGAAATTGCCAAAATCCTCTTGCGCAGCGTGATGATCTTATATCCAAAAAGTTTGTGGTGAGCAATTAACTAAAAACTCTATGCTATTATTATTTATCCCAAAACTTATGGCATGATATTTGATCTATATTTTTTCTTTACCCTCCTATGTCACTATGGTCAAATCCGTTACTTGGCCCCGGCTCCTGAAGAGGAGCTTACTGAACCGGAATCCCGGGCCGGGAGAGGCCATACTTGATGAATGAGCATGTTAGTTTGGTTAATTACTTTGGTGTTTTGTTCTGTAAACAAGTACCAACTTAAATAATCTTATGATTCAACAATTTAATCACAAATGTTTGCTTGTATTAATGACTTAATGTGTGCAATTATATATCCAACAATGAAATGCGTTGTGTTATTTAGACAAAATCAGGGGCAGGATATATGTTCTCTCATGCAATGAACATCATTGTGGGACAAAAGGAGGACAGGAAGTTGATGACTGGCGTTTTCTCTATAGCTGACATATTTTGCAGCAACTGTGGGGAGGTCTTGGGTTGGAAGTACGTTCGAGCTTATGATATATCTCAGAAGTATAAGGAAGGCAAATTTATAATTGAGAGAGCAAAGATTGCCAAAGAGTACTAATAGTAATTCCCCATCATTACAATTTACAAGGCACTTTGCTGCTCATAATAATTCCATTTGGAAACTCTTTGTTCACTTGTTTGTTTGTTTGTTGAGAAATGTAGATTCTCATCTCTTTTATATTTATAATTTGGGACAAATTTGGACTTGGAGGCGCAAGCATTGTTTGTTGGGTAGTTTTTCCACCCACAAGTTGCTGGCATGCTAGCTTCAAAGTGCGTGGAGGTGTTTAAAACAGAGATCAAACTATGCAAATCTCTTACGAATACATTCATATAATTTCAAATACTCATGCAGCATATTAATCAAGAACAACATAAAGCCAGCAGCAAGAAGAGGTTAATGTTTCGGCTCAACGCGAAAAACAAGAACGTAGCAAAGTGTGCTGCCATCAATAAATAAAATTCCTCCTTAAGGATTACTAGAACACAATACAAAGATGATCTCAAGATTGTGAAAGAATTCTATTCTATTGTTCTTGGAAGTTGGAAAGAAGACAACTGATCAAACAAAAATACAAGTAAACGTGAACTGTCATCAAGTTTAAATCTTCTGTAACTGATGTTTTACATCATTAACTAACAATAATCACACATTTGAGGATGTTTTACTCACTAGCTGTGTGATCCACTATCCCCATGCACCAGATGCCGCCGAATATCAAACTGGTCAACAGACTCCAAAGGAGTGGCCGTCTCATTTCTGATCCTCTTGATCTTAGGGCTTAACAATCCCCTGTGCCTAAACCCATACAGCTTAAGCACCTGGTTATCTGCAAAGTTGAAAGCCCTCTCCATGCTGCTCAAGCACCTCTCAACAGGGTAATCCCCGTAACTTCCACAAGGCTTGCAACCCACAAAATGGGTCACAAATGGCCACCTCTCGTCACCCAAGCCTGGATGATACTTTTCTATCATCTCTTCATACCGATCCACCAATCCAGCCCAGTACCCGTGCAAATAGTAGGAATTCTCAACATAAACCTTCTCCATCCATTGATCCTTCTGTGAAAGCAACAAGTATATCAATGCTGACTGATCATCGGCCTCAAACGCCGGCCTCCCCTTCAAATTGGCAGTCAAAATCTTCCCAGCCTCCTCTCTTATCGGACCCTTGGGACCCATTGGAGCCCAAGCATCAAGCAAATCCAAAGACCACTGGCAATTCCTAAACAAAAAACTACCGGTATTCAACGCAATCCACGACTTCTGCTCAAACAACAAATCCGGGTACCCATGAATCACAAGATTATGACTATTATACTTGGAGAGTGGAAGCTCAAACACCATATCAGTAAACAATGCATCACTGTCCATCCACCAAATCCACTCAACCTCAGGATGCGAAAGCATCAGTCTTCGAATCAAAGGCAATTTGGCCCAATAGCCAGCAAGTTCCTTATCTAGATGAGCTAAATTATACACAATCTCAATGCCATGAAGTCTACAATAATCAATCTTGTTCTTAATTACTTTCAACAAATAATGGTCCCCAATTGGGTTATCACACGGCTTAGGAGGAGACCCAGTTACGAGCAAAACGCGAGGCTTACCGTTAACCAAGCTCGGGAACTCAGGGTTGGATTGAAGCCAAGCCTTCCGCTCTTTGTCCCAATTCGCGATCTTGGGTCCCAGAGTGTATGTGATGTTGGGGTTGATCTCGGTCTGAGTCAGCTCATCCGGGTCGTTGGGGTCAGAGTCGGATCGGATCTCGGCGAGGATCCGATTGGTCTCCTCGATGATGTTCTGGTTGATGGCGTCCGCCTCGGAGCTACCCAGGTTGCCGACCCCGATTGTGCCTCGGAGGACGAGGATGGTGACGAAGCCGCAAAGGATGGTGATTTTGATGTTGTTGAAGGTCTTCTGGATCTGTCGGCCACGTGGCAGAGACCCATAAGCACGACCTGCTCTGCCATTGGCCGAGGTTCCGGTGGTGCTAGTGGGCAACCCACCAGCACCTCTCTTCTGAGCTGTAAAACTACTGTCTTGACCCATCTCTCTCTCTCCCCCTCTCTCTCTCTCTCTAAAACCTGCTCAAACTGTATATGTATGTAATATATGCTGTTGGCTTGTGTAAATTTGCGTGTGTTTTGGGTTTTTGGGTTTTTGGGCGGTATTGTAAATTTGTATAAAAAAGGCTAGAAGAAGCCTGGAAGACGCTGTAAAACCCTAGAGGAGGGTGATGGGGAAGAAGAGGACATGGTGGGAGTGTTTGGTTGTGGCGAGGTGGCAACTGCTGGCGAGGTTGGTTCGAGGTCCGTCTGATTGTTTGAGAGATGATTAGAAATTGGGGAAATGTAGAGACATGTGTCCAACACCGACTGTCGTGGGGCTTTATGTCTTTATATTTTATTGTCTGATCTGGATTTGGACTATTTTTTTAAATTATTATTTTTGGCCCAAATCCCATTGGGTCTCATTGAAAATGAATATGGAGCCCGGATTTACTGGACCTCTGACCTATGGTGATCAAGTGTTTCATCTCCCGGACTTGTGGGGCATGCCTTCATCACCATTCATTGTGTTGACCGGTGGAATCAGGTCAATGTAATAATGGTATTTGACGAGGTATCTTGCAAAATTATGTGATATCTCCAAATAAATGATTAATAATGTTATCATTGCATTTTTGGTTCGCGAAATAAACTTCAGATCAATGAAACTGTCATGTCTAATTTCTGAAGATGAGAACGAAAGATGTTTATTCCCGTATTTTAAAACACTGAAAAATAAAGACTAAGAAATGCCACTTTCTCATTTCCATTTTTAGTGAAACCTCAAAGAAAATACTTTAGTCATATGTCATTTGACTTCAATAGCTTGACACTTTGATGAAGAGACACACATTTCTAATTTACTGATTTAAGATGAGAAAACAATGGATGTCTTTTTCATTTCCTCACCAACCATAACTATAATCTCCAACCTTTTAATTATTTCAGAGTAAATGGGAGCCTCCTAAGCTCAGCAGCTGTGTCCGGCCTGTTCTGCACCTCCGCCTCCACGGCTGGAACTTGACGCGTGGTGCTAAACCACCAAGAAACGCGTTTCAGCTTTGAAACGCCGACTTGTACTTTCCATGAAGAATGTTCACTCCCACGCCACTTTCAAGCGCGTGCAAAACAACCCCCTCCCCAATTACACGTCGTCTGACTAACCCAACTGGACATGTGAGTATGGAGCCAGATTGGGGATCGAGGGCCCCACAAGATCCCATCTCAGTTGCTATGTCAGTCTCCAGTGTCTTGATGCTCATGGTCCATGTGCCGTGTTTCAATTCCCTGTCTCTCTCTAGCCGATAGCTGGAGCAAAACAAGCCTTTTTTTTTGCTGCAGTTGCTTGCTTGCTTGCCCTTTTCATTTTTTCATTTTTCAATATTTTTATTAGCAGGGTTTTATTTCCATTTTTATTTTGATTTTTTTTTTGGGTAATATATGAATTAGCAGGCCTCATTAATCTAATAAGATGCAATTACTTGCGGTGATGATGCTCAATTAGACGCAAAGAAGACAACTGTGACAAACAATTTAATAAAATTGGGTACAATATTAGACAATTTACCTTCCTAACTTTCTGGATCACAAGGATTATTAAATTAATCAACCAACTGGTAGACTAAAATGTGATGAATTTACCAACAGTTTACAATTTGGCTAAAATTTCAGAAAAGTGAAAGAAAACATAGTTACAAAAAACATATAAAATGTGATCATTTGATACAATTTTCCCTAAGCTCTCATTACAAGTTTACCAACTACTTCAGATTCAAAGCCAGCTCAACCACTATCAACCATGCAAAACACTCAAAATTCAATTCATTTGGCCAAATGAGTAACCATTCAAACAGAACAGGTATACAAACATTGTATTTCCATTACCAGTGTCATATTGCTTCAGATATTATTCAAGAGTTTTGCATTTTCAACCAATGTATACGGATACAGAACCGAAGGGAATGCTAGAGAAAGAAAACGGTACAAGTTATAGGCATACCGATTAAGTTGCAGCAGATTTCTTCTTTTCCTTCTTTACCTTCTTAATTTTCTTCTTCACCTCCCTCTTTGTCATCTTCTTCTTCACCTTCCTCTCTGTCAACTTCTTCTTGGTCTTCTTTGTCTTGCCCATCTTCTTTTTAACTTTCTCTTGATCCTTTGCTTTGGCGCAGTCTATAAGGCTGAGCTTTTCCTCATTCCTTGTTGGCTTGAAAACCTCAGTGATTGAGGGGTCCAACAAATCACTTGAGCAGCGAAGAGTTACACCCATAGCCATGGCTTCATCCCAAAGTTCTCTACCTTTTTCAAAGTCCCCTGCCCTACAAAACTTGGGAATCAGCACATCATAAACAGGTCCATAACCACCCAATGAGCTTGCCTTCATCCTTTCAAATAGCTCAAGAGCATAATATGGCTTCTCATTTCCAACGAGTATACCAATCAAATCATAGTAGAACTTGCAATTCGGTTGCAGGCCCTCTGCAAGCATCTCATCCACCATCTTATTTCCTTTACCAAATCTTCCGGACAAATACAACACTCTTGCAACAAGATAATAGCTGACCCAATCCGGAGAACAACCTGTTTTCTTCATAGTCTCAAGAATGTTACAAGATTCCTTGACTCTTCTTGTTCTTCCCAAGCAAGACAGCAATATATTGTAACTAATGGAATTTGGAAAAATTCTATATGTCCTCATCTCAATCATCACATTTAAAGCTTCGGGAACAAGTCCAGAAGGATTGCATTTAAGGTTTTTCATACAAAGGCCCCTAAGGAATGTGTTAAAGCAAAACAAGTCCGGCATGATCCCAGCTGACTTCATTTCTTTGATTATTCTTCTTGCTTCCTTCACATTCTCCTGCACAGACCATCCATATAAAAGACTCTTATAAATGCAAGGCTCTATACCAGCAATCTTATCCCTATGGTGCCAAAGAACCCCTTCTGCTCTCTTAGCATGCCCTCTAGAACAAAGCGCATTGACAATGCCGGTGACTGTATGACCATCTTGAGGACACTTGTATGTGCTCAAATTCTTAAACAGACCCAATGCCTCATCTTCCCTCCCCAACTTGACCAAAGCCTCAGCAACAAGACCAAAAGTCTGAGCTTCCATTGCCCTTCCAGTCTTCACAAGGTCAGAAAGTAAAATGTGCATTGCCGTGTGGTCCTTCTTCTCTGCGAAAACCCGAATGCCATAGTTATAATCCTTGTCTTTCAAACCATAATCCAAATTCTTATGACACCACGAGAAGAACCTGAGCAACCTTCTAGTGGGTGCTTCGCTTTTGCAAGAATCAATGACTTGGGTCACAAGTGACGATGTCAAGGAACCTGTAAATTTATTTAGACTCAATTCCAAATCATCTAAACCGCCAATTGCTCTCGAAACAATAGTACACAGCTCTTGTAGCTCGGGCGACGCAGGCAACATGGTAGAGTAGTAAAAACACAAAAAGTGTTGAGAATTCTGAGTGCTGACTGCATTGTACAGCAAACACCTCCGCCATTTTGATATCAATACAGAACGCATGTTCTGTGAGGATATTTGTCAAACAGTTAGACTGCATTATATAAAAAGCTTGACCCCAACATAGTCTGCCAGCCTACTGCAAAATGAGAATACTTACCAACGTTTTATGACCTCTAATTTGTAATAGCCGTTAAACGACACGTCAATACGTGTCCCTTGCATGTAATTCAAGGAAACCAACAAGGGCATAATGAGACACTCGCAACCTGCCAGGCCTGCAATCCTCAAATTCCATTACTGTTCCTGAGATGGTTAAGTTGGCAACCCCAAAGTTCTCTGATTGATCACCGATTCAACCCTCTAATGCCGAATTCGAAGTTTTAGAATAAAAAAGTTGATAACTTTACGCTTTAATCTGATCAAGGACAATTGGGTAGCTGGTGGAATTGAGATCGAGAAGGATGAGTGAGGTATTTGAGGGGTACGAGCGCCAATACTGCGAGCTCTCCGCCAATCTATCAAAGAAGTGTACGGCTGCTACCGCTGTTGATGGAGGTAATAAATCTCTGAAAAAATAAATGCATTTGCTTTTTCTTTTTGTGGGTTATTGGGTTTCGCAAACCCAACGTTAAAAAATGCATTTGGGTTTTTTATCCCAAAAAGAAAAGAGTTGTATTTGGGGTTTATTTTTATTATTATTTTTCATTTCGTATTGGTGGGATGCATCATGAATTTGGATGTTTTATTTTTCTTGTTTAGATTAAAATTTTATATATATGCACTTGTGAGAGACTTTAGTATGGGCATAAAAGATGGTGTTCTGTGAATTCTTGCTTTGCAGAGGGAAAAAAACAGAGAATTGCAGAGGTAAAAGCTGGATTAGATGATGCTGATACTTTGGTATGTCACAACTCCAGTTAATTTTCATTGCTTAGATGTGTGTTTTTGTTTATGTTATTAGATTAATAAATCATGCCATGTTGGAAAAATTATCCAGCTTAGGAAAATGGACCTTGAGGCAAGGAGTTTGCAGCCAGGTGTGAAGGCAGCGCTTCTTGCCAAGTTAAGAGAATATAAGACTGATTTCAACAATCTTAAAAGCCAAGTTAAGAGAATCACATCACCTGTTGCTAATCATGCAGCCCGGGACGAGTTGCTGGAGCCCGGAATGGCAGAAACCTTGACGGTATTTTCTCCATACCTCTGTGTTTGTGTGCGTGTGTATGTGCTCATGTGTGCATTGCTGCATGCATCTATGTTTACTCTTCATAATTTTCTTGTTCATGGCATGGGACGTTTGATTATGCGACAGACATCAAAAGATCAAAGAGGGAGATTATTGATGACAACTGAAAGATTAAATCAGTCGACGGACAGGGTCAAGGAGAGTCGAAGAAAAATGCTAGAAACAGAAGAGCTTGGGGTCTCAATCCTCCAAGATTTACATCAACAACGCCAGTCTCTTCTACATGCCCATAATACAGTACGTGTGCTATGCCTACTAGCCTTAGTTACTCTGGCTTTATGTGTGACATTGCCACAGAAAGCATAGGCTTGTTTGTTGCTTGCTTCTGTGCCTAAATTAGTCTGATGAGGATATGAGATGGTTGAGGTGGTAAACCTAATTTTGTTTCTTCCTTTTTGACAGATCCATGGGGTGGATGGAAACATTAGCAAGAGCAGAAGGGTCCTGACAGAAATGACAAGCAGGATGAATAGGAACAAATGGATTGTTGGCTCCATAATCGGAGTCCTTGCCCTTGCCATCATGATTATCCTTTATCTTAAGCTTACCCGCTAGCCTATACTGCTGCTGCACTGCCTTGTCTAATTTTACTGATTTGACACTACATCAAACTCTCCTTGTTCTTTATGTTGTTGGATATTGTTTCTAGCTTCTATTTTTCTTCTCTCCAAGATCTTGGCTAATTCAAGCGAGGGGCAATCAGAGTTGTGCTTTTGTTCTATCTTACAAAATTGTTGTTGGAATGAAGGAAAGCAACCATGGACTCTTATGAAACGAACGCATGGCTGAAAAAAAGGACAGAGAGTAGAACGTTTATCAGGGTGAGCACCTAAGTTAGCACCTAAGCTCATTATCTGAAAACCCCTTTCGAAGTCCTATTGAGATGAATAATGAAATGTGTCCCCTTCTTTGTTCAGTAAACCACAACTTCTATATCAAAGAAAGAAAAAAAGCTTACTATGCAGGTTCTTCATATACTGAACACAAAGCTAAGGAAAAAGATACTTACATTATGATATTTAAATGACTACAGAATTCCATACAAACAAAAAAAAAAAAACACCCTAAGAGATTATCCTAAAACTTCTCCATTAAGACATTATTCAAAAATCTCAAACAATTTTCACAAAATAAATTCGGAAGATTTAACATATTGCCAGTTTGGATTTTGAATATGGTGATGAATCAAGGACGAATGCTTCCTCACGCCAGCATGCAGAATTTGTGGTTGAAGAGCTCTATATCATGTGTCTTTTGGGAATTTTTGTCCCTGAGCAAGATGGGCAAGGGGATGCTTTACCAAGATCTGATCTTTGATTTTATTGAATTAGAACCAGAAGCTTGCAGCCTTGATCAATGTCCTTCAACCAATATGTTGATGCACCTAGTATACTTCAATTAAACGGGCAGCACCAATCCCCACTCATCACATAGAGAACACCAAAAGATGCAGGTAACTTCCATAACGAAAGGATTACGACTAGAAGGGAATTAATGCATCTTAGGAATGAGACAACTGTCCCTCAAAATCAAATACAATGACTTCAATATCAAGAAGCACCATCTTCCGGGGAGGAATCCCTTGACACAAGCTCCTCATCATCCTTTTCATCCTCCTCATCATCATCATCAACAGAAGCAGGGTCACCATTAAGATCCACATTTACACCATTTAACTTCCTCACAAACTGTCCCCGCACACGAGGCCTCCTTTCGGCAAGTCGTTTTCGATTAACATACCGGATCTTTTTGTCAAAACACCGCTCCTTTCTCTTTTGCCTAAATTTAATCAATGCTGCCTCCCTTCTGTCAACCTTATTTAGATTCACTTCGGTTGAAGATGAGTTTCCAAATGATGGCCATGAATGAGTATCAGGCATTTGACCAGGTTGTAAGCATATACTAACCGGGTAATAGGGGAATGACGCCATCCCATTTACATGTGGAGGGCAGTGTGGAAGATGATTGTATTGTGGCATAATAGCTGTTGTAGCATGATTTTGCATATCATGCAGATTCTTTTGATAAACATGGGCTGATGATGACATCATAACTTGATTGACAGCCCCAGACATATAATATTGATAGGCAGCTTGGGCAGGTGTGCCAGAAAAATCATGTTGATGTTCATTTCTTGGATGCACAGGCATCAGAGAGTATCTATCTTCCTCAGCACTCTTTTGATTTTGAAGTTCCATTGATCCAGATGGGGTACTAGACCTCTCCAATGATAGAGAATCTGGGATACTATTGCTGCTTGGCAAGTCGTCTCCTTGTGAATAGCTTTCCCATGCCTCTCCATTTCCATGTACTTGGGGATTATCAACCACTTGGAGACCACATGCTTGATGTTTCTCTTCTATCCTCAAATGTTCAGCGGTAATGTCTTCAACATGAGCAACCACTTGAGAGTTGATTGTAAGTTTGCTTGATTTGACATAGGTAAAGAAGGCAGATGACTCGCCAATCTTTAGTTCGCTCTTTTTTGGGCCAGATAAAAATTTTCCTGAGGAAAATTATCAGAGAAAAGGGAAAAAGTTACCCAAGTGGTAAAGATGAAAAATGGCATACTGAAAAACCATTCTGCTTCTAAGGAAAAAGTTTCTCAGATCAGTGAAGCCAAATGAATGATGCAGCTAGACACAAAACACAGCCCTTAGCCATACATGATGGTATCTAGTGAACACATGTTCATCGCGTATGATATAACAAGACTTCTCACTGTTTCTGTTTGTCATCATCATTAAAAATAATAAATAAAAATATACAAGAAGTTCGGAAAAAGCATTAAACTTTTCTCACATACTTGTTTTGGAAAAGAAAATGAAAACAATAAAGACTGCAGTAAGACAAACAACTACAGGCTCAATGTCAATAATGTCTCTAGTTTTAATTGTATTAAACTCTCAAAGTCTTCAAACACTGTCATCTTTCCAAGCGTAAACCAAACTGAAGCCAAAACCTCAAAATATTTTCAGAACTCAGCTTGAGAAAAAAATATATATCAGAAAAGGCAGTAAAATTGAAATGATGTCGTCTCATGGTATTACTTTAACTGATCCTATGTATTCATACATCACTTGTTTCAACTACACAAACTATGATTCATTTATTCAAATGCAATGCGGAAGATGATAAACAACATTAAGCTCAGGAGATGCCCGGACTTTGGAAAATCAGCAATTCAATTGTCACAAGTGGCTCACCAGTTTGTCGGTCACTTATTCCAGGAACATCAGGCCGAAATTCTGATATATTCTTGGGTGGAAGCTCCATAACAGCAGCAGACTAAAAAATAAAAAATAAAAACATAAAGAAGAAGAAGCCAAAACAAGAAAAGAACATACATAAATACACGTTCATAGTCATTATAACCGTCACTGATTTTCCTAGGGAGCTGGATCCACATATAAATAGTTAGGCTTCACAGTCTCAGCACAGAAAAATGAATTTAGGTTTCAGCAAAGAAAATGTAGACAAGTAAACCATGACTGGTCCATGACATTGTGTGTCATATGTCTACTTGGTTCATGGTTGAAGTAAGTGCTACTAATAAGTAATTAATTTAATCTTAAATGAAGAGAAAACCTAAGTTCCTGTAGTTAATTATGAATTATTTGACAGATTCAACCCGAGTCCTAACTAATTTTTCAGATTCCAACACTTGTTTCATCTCAAATCTAGTTCAGCATGAGTTATTACTGAATATATGATGTCTTCTGGTAGAGGAAAATAAAATTTCAACTAAAAAGATTTATAATGAGTTACATTCAGTTTTCAAGCCATTAATGTACATTTTAAATATTTAACATCTAAAATGTGTTACTTAGATATATACAGGGCAGTTCAACGGCTGGATCCTGCACCTCAAATAATATCTATGCATATGTACTCTTTGGTGTTGTGCCTAATCTAAAATGCTTCCACATGTATTTTGAGTAGCACTACGGACTCTTATATTGCTATATAATCCTACTTGGACTGATTCCATAGATCACCCAAATAAAACTCAAAACAACGTATAAAGTTCACATTTCACATCTTGTATATATTGCATATTAGACCCCTCTTAGACCAATACAAGCAAGACTTATTACATGATGCAGCATCAGTAGAGATATTGGTCCCACAATGAACATATTTTTTAGTTTGTATATATTTAACAATCAAGCTTCAGCTCTATATTTATTAATTATTAAACCCAACTTCTCTTCTTTACTTTTCAAAAGAATAAAAAGCATAGTCACCTTATCTTCCTGATGAGCTGACATTCCTATCTCTGGATTGGCAGACTTGTCATCTGTGTCATCCGAGAATAAGGTAGTACTGTTTGTATTAGATCCGCTAGGGTCTGATATCACTGGATCAACATAATTCAAAATGTTCTTCTCTGCTAGCCCAAGCTGCCAAATACATAAAAATAAAATATAATTACTGATTTGAGAGGAAATAGTGTTCTAGTGCACACGCATCAATTAGGTAGTGGAACTTGAAAGAGAGGTATTACTGATACACAGACATGGCTCTTTGAAATAAAGGTTACGAACTTTAACTTCAGATGAGAGAAGGCTGAGAAGCCAAGTAAGCTAATTGCATGCTTTCTTCTGAACTACCCAAGATAATACATTCACATAAGAGGGTCATAAAGAGATACTAACAGCCTAAAACAACATCAACACCTATATGATGGCAAGGGGCAAGAGAAGATTGACTGGTATGGAAGGGTTAGAGGTAATTAGAAGAACAGCTCTAGAAACAAAAACATCAAAGTCATGCAAACGAACCATGCGCCTTCTTCTCCACATGTGTGTCCACAAGTTTAGAAGCTCATTAGTTCGTAAAGGCTTCACGAGATAGTCTGCTGCTCCAAGCTTCAAGCACTTAACAACAGTAGAGACCTCGTCTTTTGCCGACATCACTAACCAAAAGAAAAGGTTCAACAGTGAGGTTAAGACAATACTTTTCCTCAAAAGGAAATATTTATCATTAAGTGAAAATGGCAGTGGTAAGACTAAGAGCAAGACATGCTTACTGATTACAGGAATGCGCCTTAACTCTCTATCCCGTGTGATGTACTTCAACATTTTCATGCCTTTGTTCATTGGAAGGTCAACTTCAGCAAGTATGAGATCGATATCAGGGCCCTCTGCATTCAATGCATCAATCACCTGTCTAGGAGACCTCACGGAAATAACTGTGAAGCAAAGAAATCAAGGGTCATAATTTAACACACGCACATCATCTTCCATTTTCTTAGCAGCCAAACAGAAGATAAACGTTAACATTTTCCTAACTAAACTTCAGAAACCAAAGACTACCCCACACCAAAAAACAAAATTTAAGCACACGACTCACAAAATTCAGCACCACATGCAGTAAATTAATTAAAGAAATAAAAGAAAATGATATATTACCCTGGTAAGAGCATTTCACAAGAAGCGTGAAAACCTCTTCCGAACTGTACTCGTTGTTATCGCACAATAAAATTCTCACTCTGCTCCTGTCTATGAACCCATCACCGCCGGCGCCGGCGCCGCTATCACCAGCTCCACAGTCTCTGTTCAAATTCAGCTCCTTTGACTCCATAGCCAAAACCCACCAAAGCCCAAAACAACTCCGAAATGAAACAGCTTTAAAATCCCATCACCACCTCAAACCCAAACCATTCCTCAAGGAAACAGGTTTAAAATTCCATCACCACCCCAAACCCACCCTCAGGCAAATACTCTTATACTAGAGAACCTCCATGGCAGAAAATTCCACTTCACGGCCTCAATCAGAATTCAAAATTAGGGTTATGGGGGTCTCCAATTCCCAGCCACTCCATTCCCAGTCAAAACCCAAGCCCGCCGTCCGTACAATCGAAGACCCCGAGCGAGCTGAGACGTCAGTTGATCGACGGTTGAGAATTCTTGACCAGCAGGGGAGCGGATAGAATAAATAAGAGTAAAAAAAGTTCCGAGCTTGGATCACCGGCCAGCAGCCAAAATGGGTCTGACTCGGCCTTGCGAGGCCGAAAAAGAAAGAAAGTGAAAACAAAAGAGCCAAAAAGAACGAAAAAACTAGAAAAAGACTAGACGGAAAGTAATGAAATTATTAAATTCTCAATCCGCCCATTGGGTATTGGGTATAATTGATCTGTTGTATCTCTCGCCTCCATCTGTCCAATTATAGAATGGATATTTTTATTTTCGGCACGGGAAAAGTTACTAACGTGCGCCTACACGACGACAGGCGCATGATAGATAAGAGGAGACGTGGAGGGTTGGGGAACAGAAAAGTAAAGTGCAAAAGGGTAGTGTTCAGGTTAGGATTGTCTGGTAGAGACAGAGAGGACTACATGGATATGTTTATTCATTTTTATTTTTCGGTTTTTCCTCAGAGAAAATATGTCAAATTGTTTTTATTCTTTTTTGGGAAAGTGAAATATATCACAATTTGGCAATTGTTTGTCTATATTTCCACATCCATCAAAGTTGCAATGGGTTGATCATGCAACTGCTTCAACTATAATGGGAATAATCTAGTTACAAGTTTATAATTATACTGCATTTTATTGTAAGTTGTTGAACAACAATTCAAACTTTGTCCATAAACCCTAATTCAAATGATATTGGGGGTGTAATGACGAAGGGATAGAGCCTGCATTAAACTCTTGTTGTGAACAAAAAGAGAAATAGAACTCAAAACTTAGAAGTTAGGCTCCATAAGATATAAAGTGAGTAATCTTGTATTAGTGAAAAGAGAATGACCAATATTTTCTGCCATGAATTCCTCAGACATTCAGAAAACGTGTAGAAAGGCTAGTCCGTATATAAGCAATGTAATATACCATTTACTGCAAAACAAGAGGAACCTCCAAATCTATAGAAGCAGAGCATTCAGTTGATTGACAAGCGGCACGTGTAGTGCTGGAAATCAGTAGAGAAAGAAAAAAATACTACTCTATTGGGTGGGGGAGCCTTTGCTCTTCTGCAAGAGTTTTGCTCCACATGCAATTACCAGATTAATCTCACAAACATGTGTCTGTCACATCCTTACCGAATTAAAAATGAAGCACAATAAACACATGGACATTCATCTAAAAAGCCGAAAATACCAAGCACATGATATTATCCCAGAATCAAAATAACACATGCTTAAAAAAAAACATGTTCAGTAGGGGACTTGGGGACCATCTTGCAACATCATGACATGGATGAAGCTGAGCTGCATGCAGAATTCTGTTACTTGCCTAACCAGGAACATTTGTGGCCTGTTTTCCTACTGGCCCTTGTGATGGAAAAAGCTAAAGCGACGTGTAACGACTGCTTGTACCGGATCTGATCAGCTTCCATAACATGATCTCAGAAGCTGATCTCATTCAAATTGGCTTAGTTTTTTTTCTGTTTATGGATGGATAAAATAGTGGGGGGTAGCAAAGGCATCACAGCTTCAACTTGGGTTCAACTTTTAAGATTGTTCTGGGGTACCATATGAACTCAAATTTAGCACACTGCTAACACCATTAAAGGACATCTATGGTTATTGCAATTTCAAGACTGGAGGGCTGCATCGATAAAATCTGAAATGTTTGTTTGTAGAAGGAGAACTATAATGAAAAGATTTACAACTGTCCACCTGAACCAAAACTGTCAAGAAGCTGGAAAAATAAAACTTTTATCCTAGACAAAATTGCTATTAAAAGTAAAAGAGAAAGAAAAACGTCCTGGAAAAGTCACTGTTCACTATCATTATGTCGTCAACATACTCAAGGAAGCATGAGAAAGCCATGCTAAGAGCATCTACAGTGGGGGGGTGTATGTTAAATATACACCCCGAGTCACCGAAATAGTCTCCAATAAGGAGATGTAAATATACACCACCATGGGGATGTAAAATAAAATGTATATTTACATCTATTTTTACATCCCTTGCAGACGGGACCCACTTGAGAAAAAAGAAGAAAAATGAAGAAAAGTCAACATAAAAGGCTGGGACCCATGGCTACACCCCCGAATTTACACTCCCCTACTATAGCAAAAAACATATTTACACTCTCCCGGAGGTGTAAGAGCATCTCCACCCACAAGGGCTAAGTTTAAGGCAAGGGCAAGCAAGGGCTGCCACTATTCACGTGAATAGTGTCAGCCTTTGCATTTGTGGTTCCACCCATGAGGGCAAAGTCTAAGGCAAGTCTAAGGCAATTACTATTGTACTTTATTTCCTATTTGTTTATACTTTAAACTATTAATTTTGATAAGCTTTTTAGATTATATTTTCGGTTGTCACGTGTCACTATTTATTATAAAATTTTCATTTAAAATTTAAGATAACATTTTTCGAATAAAATTTTCAAATAAAATTTTTGGATAAAATTTTTCGAATAACATTTTTGGTTTTGCCTTGACTAATCTATTAAAAAAAAGAAATTGGAAATGCAAGAAATATATATATAAAAAAAGACATTAAATTGAATAAAAATTTTTTTTTTTTTTTTTTTTTTTTTTTTTTTTTTTTTTTTCCCTTTGCAATTTTCAAGATGTTGTGATTTTTTGAGTGAAAAATAATTGGAAGAAGAGATGAAGTTTTTATGAAGATTTGGTGTAGAATTTAGTGAATAAAATGGTTAAGGTATTTATAGGAAAAAAATACAGAATTTTTTGGTATTTAAAAAAAAAAATTCAGAATTTTTCAGAATTTTTTCGAATTTTTTTGGCAAAAAAAAAAAAGTTTTACTATGCGCTGACGTCAGCGTGATGCCAGCGCTGACGTCACAAAACTCGGGCTTCAGCCCAGGCAGAAGTTGCCCTTAGGCTTGCTCGGGCTGATGGGACCCACCACGAAACCGGGCTGCTTCTCTTGCGCAGGAGCCATCTCGGGCTCGCCAGGGGGCCCTTTCCCCGAGTTTGGGTCTTATGCTGGACATGCTCTAAAGGGAATGTAAAAGTGGCTTTACACCCCCGAATTTACACCCCCCACTGTGGATGCTCTAAGCAAACCAACCAGATTATGAGCTCAAAATAAACCCTTCTCTAACTCCTTTCTAAAATAAAGTTATAAAAGTCAAGGTGATGAATTGGTGATGCTTACATGTACGCATTCAGGCGCTTAACTACATGGTATCTATAGATGATGATTTGCTATGCAGCTGCCTATCATGCTGAATTGGGTATAAATAGATCAAATTAAAGGTCTTCAAAATATTACTAAGCTATGGAAAAAAAGAGCAAAATAAGAAACTTAGTTATGATATTTTCATGATTATAAATTCCGTACGAACAAAAGAAAAACAAACTTCTCCTTTGAGATATTATTCAGAATTTCTACTTTGAGACATTATTCAAAACTTCTCCTTTGAGACATTATTTAGAATGTAATGACTTTAACATCCTTTTACAACTACAAAGTATCACATCTTAAGAATTAGAAAATTCCCGTTCATGTCCAATAAGAATGACTTTAACATCCAGAAGCACCGTCTTCCGGAGAGTACTCCCTTGACTGAAGCTCCAGATGTACACCTCTTACCTTCCTCACAAATTGTCCACGCACACGAGGTCTCCTTTCAGCAAGTCGCTTTCGGTTAACATACCTCATCTTTTTATCAAAACAAAGCTCCATTCTTTTTTTCCTAAATTTAATCAACGCTGCCTCTCTTCTGTCAACCTTATTTAATTTCACTTCAGTGGAAGATGAAATTCCAAGTGATGGCCATGGATGAGTAGGAATTTGACTAGGTTGTAAGCATATGCTAAACTGGTAGCAGGGGAATGGAGTTATCCCAGTTACATCTGGAGGGCAGTGCGGAATATGATTGTATTGTGGCATAATAGCAGTTGTAGAATGATTTTGCATGTCATGCGGATTCTTTTGATGCGCTTGTGTTGATGATGACATGATAACTTGATTCACAACCCCTGGAATATAATACGGATAGGCAGCTTGGGCAGGTAAGCCAGAAAAATCTTGTTGAAGTTCATTTCTTGGATGCACAAGCACCTGTGAGGATTGGTCTTTCTCAAAATTCTTTTCATGTTGAAGTAACATTGATCCAAGAGGGGTACCAGACCCCTCCAATGAAAGGGAATCTGGGACACTACTATTACTGCTCTGCAAGTCATCTCCTTCTGAATAGCTTTCCCGTGCCTCTCGACTTATGTGTACTTGGGGATCATCCACAACTTGGTAACCAAATGCTTGATGTTTCTCTTTTATCCTCGCTTGTTCAACAACATTGTCTTCAGTGCAGGCAAGTGTGCTTGATTTAACATAAGTAAAGAATGATGATGACTCTCCCATCTTTAGGTTACTCTTTTTTGGGCCAGATGAAGATTTTCCTGCAGAATATTACCACAAAATAGTGGAAAAAGTTCTCAAAAGGGAAAGATGAAAAATGACATAGAAAAACCGTTCTGCTTCTAGATGATTTTTTTTCTTTACTAAGATCAGCTAAGTCAATTGAATGATGCAGCACGTCATATTTATCAGAAATTCTCATTGTCATTTTTGTCATCATCGGTACAACTACTATAAACAAAACCCTACAATGAGTGAGAAAAACTCGTTAGATTTTTGTTTGTTACATACTTCTTTTGAAAAGGATAAAGGAAAGTAGAGACTAGAGACTCGATGTCAATCACACTCTCTTGCTTTAACTGTCTTAAATTCTCAAAGACTTCCAAGAATGTCATATTTCCAAGCATAGACCAAATAGAGGAGTACTCTACTAGAAAAAAGATCAGAGTCTAACTAAGAAAACCAAATAAATATAATCTGAATAGAATCCTACGGCACAAACAAACAATCTTGTAATCAGTTTCAAATTGGAGAAAGAATTTTTTCCCATGTACAGAAACTTCAAACATATCTAATCATCAAAAAGACAGTAAAACTGAAATCATGTCATTTCATGATCTCACTATTAAATGAATACAAGCCAAACAGCACCCTGCAGCAGAAGAAACAAGGTTTTTAGATCAGATTCAAATTGGAGAAAGATTATTTTTTCAAACGAAAATTTTATTTTGAGAATAGTTTATCATCAGAAAAGAAAGCAACATTGAAACGATGTCTTCTCATGATATTCCTATAAGTGATCCTATGCATCACAGAAGATGATTTGTTTCAACTATGCTTGCAAATCACGATTCATTTGCTCAAATGCTACGGAAAGAAGATAAACAATATTTGAAGCTCAGAAGACGCCTAAACTTTGCAAAGTAGCACTTCAATTGTGACAAGTGGCTCACCAGTTTGGTGGTCGTGTATTCCTGGGACATCAGGCCGAAATTCTGATACATTATTGACTGGAAACTCCATAGCAGCAGCAGTAGAAAACTAAAAAAAGAAGACAAAATAAAAACGAAATAAAAACCATATAAATGCACACTCTAGGGAGTTGCAAGGACAAATACAAATAAAAACTTAAACGAGTAAACCATGACTGGGCTGCATGTCTAGGTGGTTCACGGTTATAGTGACTAATAAATTTTGGATGTACAGGAACAAAACATCAAAAGTCACGCAACAAACCATGCGCCTTCTTCTCCACATGTGTGTCCACAAGTTTAGAAGCTCGTTAGTTCGTAAAGGGTTTACGAGATAGTCTGCTGCTCCGAGCTTCAAGCACTTAACAACAGTAGAGACCTCATCTTGTGCTGACATCACTAACAAAGAGAAAAAAGTTCAAACAATGTCAATGAGGTTAAGACCATAACTTTCTTGTAAAAGAAAAAAAATTTATTAGGGAAAATTGCAGTAATAAGAACAAAATATGCTTACTGATTACAGGAATGTCCCTTAGTTCTCTATCCCGTGTGATATACTTCAAAATTTTCAAGCCTTTTCTCATGGGAAGGTCAACTTCGGCAAGTATGATATCTATATCAGGTGCTTCAGCATTCAATGCATCAATCACCTGTCTTGGAGACCTCACTGAAATGACTGTGAAGCAAAGAAATTAAGATCCATGATTAGAGTTTGACACAATTTGAAATTTGGAATGAGATAATCAGGTTCCACTTTAGATGGCTCTAAAAGCAGATATGATACGGATTTTAATACACAAATTACTACAATCTAAGTTGCCTAACAACATGGAAGGCAATGTTACTGTGGGATTTCAAAGAAACTCTTAGGCCATTCTTCAATTTTACGTTGGCTTTTCATCTTGGCATTCATAGCCTTATTGTCATGTTCAGAATTCTCTACACCTTTCAATAAAGAGTTTCTAGATAATAAATAATAAATAATAAATAATAAAAGACAAGGAGAAGGGAATTGAGCTAACAGAAAAATCAAGCTTTAAAAATTTACAGCTTTAAACAAGATTGTTTCAACAGGTGGCATCTAAAGACCAACCTGATTTTTCTTCCATTTTCTTAGCAGCCAAACAAATGATAAGCTTTAACAGTTTCCATTGCAAAGATAACCAGTAATTAATGAGAAAAAGTTATAGTAAATAATATATTACATCAGAAGGGCAAAAACCTCTTCCGAACTGTACTCGTCGTTATCACACAACAAGATCCTTACTTTGCTTCTGTCAATGAACCCATCACCATCACCATCACCATTTTCAGAGTGCTTCTTCAAATTGAGCTCCTTAGACTCCATAGCCAAAACCCACCAAAGCCCAAGCCACTCCAAAAAGAAAACAGCTTCAAAATCCCATCACCACCACCACCACAACCCCAAAAACCGCCCCCAGGCAAACTCTGTTATATTAGAGAACCTCCATGGTCAAAATGGGCAGATAAAAATCATCACTTGAGGTCCAGTGCTTCAATCAAAGTTCCTAATTAGGATCAGGGTTATGGTTCTCAGTTGCCGGAGACTCCAATCTCAGCAACCACCACGGCCACATCGTACGGCTGGCGGAGTGGCGGGCCGTGAAGAATTACATACAAGTGAAGACTTTCAGTTGATTGACGGTTGGGATTGCAAACTAACTCGGGTAAGGATAGGATGATCACATTTCTCGTTAAGAACAAAAGTAAAGAAGTTGGTTTAAGATTAATTTGTCCACAAAACTTCATGATTGTTGGAGTTTTTGTTTGGTCTGGATTTGATGAGGAATTTGACATGGCAGATTGCAAGGCATTTGATGACTAGGTAACTATATGTATTGTAAGGAATAAGCCATATGAATTCCAACCACAAAAAGATTAAAAGAAATGAAAATAATAATGATAGGTCATAAGAGATGGAAAGTCAGATAATTTACTAGATCAAACTATTTAATTTTCCAACTACTCCTCAAAACTCGCCTACGAGTGAGCTTAAGTGGCATTGAAGTAAGATGATGAAAAGGTAAAACTTAAGTTCAAATTTGTTCACCTTGCTTTTAGTACCACTGATTACATCTGGAAACCACTAAAATACTGATTACAATTTGGTTTTTGAAGTTCATGGAACCAAATTTTTATTTGCAACACAGATGCTCAGTAATTATAATCATGCCATTTATTTTTTTGATACACACAAAGTTGGCTCTGGATCCTCTGGAAACTCTTCATCTCTGATAAAGATGTTGTTCATAGTTGCTTCAGCTGAAACCACAAGACTAATGCTCTTCTGTGGCGGCTCGAGCCCCTGTAAGAGAGAGAAGAAAAGCCAAAGAAAGTAACAAAAACACACAAACACAAACATATATGAGTGTTTTTCGATTCGACTGTTTGTCTAGTTGGTCACAAGGGAAAGCTTTGAAGCCATGTTTAAAACACTCAGTAACCAGCCATTCCCAAGTGGTTAAAAGATAAGTCGGATGCCTACCTTAGGAGGCTTCCTCTGCCTCCAAGAGTGGATCCACAAGTTTAATATCTCATCAATGCATAGTGGCTTGACCAGATAATCAGTAGCACCAAATTTTAAGAAATTGTAAAGAAAACGGCTTTCGTTCTGCGTCAACAGCACTTCAAAACAGCAAGGAAAGCAAAGTAAGATGTACTGATTTACATGGCTTGCCAACCATATTGTTTGTATCCATTTTGATGCAAAAAATAGAGTGCATAAAGTTTGTGATGTTATATATTCTTCCTTTTTAGACATTTCAACTTTCTTTTCAGAAAGTTAAAGAAACAACAAGAAGTAAAACTAATAAGCTTACTTATCACTGGGATATGCTTGAAATGCAGATCCTGCATTATATATTTCAACATTCTCATGCTTGCATCTATGGGAAGGTCAACTGCAGCAAGTATGATATCAATGGATGACCACTCGGCATTCAGAGCATCCAACACCTCCACAGCAGAGCTTACTGATATTACTGTTATACAAAATTAAGGATCTTAATTAATTTTCTAAAGTGTTATAAGTTATAACCTACATGGATTGATAATATCAGAACTCAAGGTTGCACACGCTAGAAGATAGAGCTGCTGCATATTATACATCTAAACTCCAAACTGTTTGTAATGTAAGAAAACAAACTAATTGGGAACTTTGGTTCAGCCCATGATCAACATGCAAGAAGAAAGGATTGATATATACATACACGTACGTTACATTACATTACGTACCCTGATAACTGCATGTTGTCAGTAGTGTGCAAACCTCCTCACAACTCTCAGCATCACGGTCACACAACAAAACTCTTACTCTGCTACGATCTATGGACATGTTCTTGCTCTTAGCTCGGCTGCCACTATATTGCCTGCTGCTGTTGCCAATGTCTATTTGCTTACCTTTCTCCATTGCAATTCAGATCAGCAGCACACAAGCACAGGGCCTAGAGATGCACATATCCATGCAGCAATCAAGCTCCCATGCTACAAATACACCAGTTACCCAACAAAAAGTTTGGCCTACCAAACTTTGGGTTGGCTTGCCCAGCCTCCAGCCAGATATTTTGAGGATCTGATCATAAATTTTGTAGCACATGTCTCTATATATATCTAGGACTTCACCCAGCAGCAGCATCTCACCTATTCAGAGTTCTAAATTAAGCTCATAGCTCCTTCTCCATTTTAAGGATTAAACCCCATTGTCCCATGGATTACGACAACTAAACTCAGGGCATCAAAAGCATTTCAGAACTTAACCACCACATGTTATGTTATGATCTGCACAATCACTGTCTTGGACACAATATTTGTTCCAGAATTCCCAATTGAGATTGATTTTCTCAAAATAATCAAATTGAAATAAATGGGTTACCTGCAATGAACTAGAATTATATCCAAAACTTCTATACCATTTACCGCAAAACACAAAAGGGAACCCCCAAACCCAAATTTATAGAAGCAGAGCATTGTGTTGATTTATATCTATATCTATATCTATATATAAATGCAGCATGTGGACACTGCTAGAAATTAGTAGAGAGAGAAAACAATGAAGTACACTGGATGCATGGGAGGCTTTATCCTTTCCCAAGATTTTTGCTGCACATGAGTATATTGTAGCCGTCACATCCTTTACCAAATGACAAAATATCAAGCACATGCATGATTTCATCCACCAACAAAAATGCAGCCACATGCTTAGCAAAACATGTTTAATTAGGCCCTGCAGGGAGGGACGATCTTATTAAAGATCATGACTTGGCTGCTCTTGCTGTGTTACTTGCCTACTTGCCCTGTGGACCGGCGACCGGCCCCCATTCTCTCTGCCGCATGTGCTCCCTCTCTCGCGATGGCTTGCCTTGTCCTCCCCTCTGTCTGTCGCCATCTTCAAGCAAGAGTTTGGGCTTCTCAAACCCGTTTCTCTTTCTACTTGGCAAACAACCTTCAGAGGTGCAAATTAAGAACATAGGATGATCATGGAGATACTTTTCTCTATTGCAGAAGAGAGAAGCATTGAGGAAGAAGAAATTAAGGTTGTTGCTTCATGGTTGTACAACTCCTTAACAACTTAATTGTAGGGATAAGGTTGTTTGTTGCTTCCAAAATTGGAAGTGAAATTGACCAACACTCCAAGCTTACGAGTATGTCTACCTCATTTCATTTTTGCTATCATCCATCACATCCTTTACCGAACTAGAACAAAATCAAGCACAAGATTCATCAAAAGAATAAAATATCAGCCACATGCTTGGCAGGTTTCAAACATCAGCAAGCAGGGGCTGCATGCAGGGGGCCATCTCATAACACCAAGACATGGGCCAGTTTTTAAGAATTTCTTAAGTTTGATTAAAAGGTGATTTTTGGCTTTATAAGTATACAAAATTCCCATTTCCTTGATCACAATCCCAAATCTCATAGTGGGTCCCTCTTGGCTAGAAGTGACATTTTTGACAAATTAATTATAAATTTTTAAGAGTGCTCTTTTCATTTCCCCCCTATTTTTTGTAGGACCATTAGGTCCATCACTACATGCACAAATATATTCAGTACATATATATCGTCATTTCTCTCCATCTTCAACTTCTTTTCCACATTCCACACAGGTTTCAACTTGCGTAAAGTAATAATAACTTTATACTAAAAACATGTATGATAGCATGGAATAAATCAGAAATCCAAATTCATCCGTCAATTCGAATGAATAACCAATTTCTTTGCCACCAACCTAATGCTTGCATTCTGCTGATAGTCATATGGATCCAAGGAAAAGAATGCATCCATAAAACTCCCCTGTTTGAACAAGGTACTAAGTTCTGAAGAATCCAACTTAGTGAAGACTAGCCTCTGCTCAGTGCCAGAAGGCTCTTTTTTATATATCTCTGTGGCGTAGATCCTAATATCCCCTGATGCCGGTATACTGCAGAAACGAAACAAATTAAACGTAGAAAACATTACACATCTAATCCGATGAATGTTCAAGGAGTGAAAATATGACGGGATTCTAAATATACATAATAATAATGTGTTTTCTCATGAGAGAGAGAGAGAGAGAGAGAGAGAGAGAGAGAGAGAGAGAGAGAGAGAGAGAGAGGAGAAAAGGCGAGACTAGGACTAAAACTTACTGCAATCTCACTGCAGGGTAGTCGTATTGCCGGATCACAACAGGCTTCCATTCGGATTTGCTTCCAGAATCCACAGACAACTTACTTGCAATGTCATCACATGCATCAAGAACTTTACATAAATTTGGTGATGCGTCTGCGATAATATTCAACTTTGGCCGTCCATAATAATCAAAAAAATCTGATTTCATATTGATTCCAAACCGTAATTTCATATGCCTACAGCAAAGCTTCAGATCATGTAGTAACTTAATCCTCTGACTTCCACGATACAACGGGACAAGGGAAGCATCGATTGAAGGAATAAAAACTTGATCAGGCTCTAAAAATCCCACAGCGGAGTCCAGCTGATTCAACTCTTCTTGCATTTCATTGCTGAGGGGGCCCATGTCCGGGAGGCTTGATTCCTGTGAGTACATCAGATCAGACTATAGTCAATTTTTTTGCTATTGATATATTTTCTTGAGTTTACCCTCAAAAGGTCTAACTTCTGAGGGATGTGTTTAGACATACTAGTATTTTATATTCTAAGTTCTACCAAGCTAACACCCCTTTCACGTGTAAGACCCTCAGCTAGGCCCTGGCAAACGGGTCGTTTTTGTCATGTTTGTAACGGGTAGAAAAAAAAAAAAAAAAAAAAAAACGAACACGACACGTTAAAATCACGAATGACACAAACACGACCCCATTTCACTCATTAAGAATAATATTCAAAAAATGAATTGGCTCTTCATGCCTTCCGAAAATAGATTATTACCAAGAATAAGACAGTTGCACAGTTTTTCAAAACTTCAAGATTCAGTCGAACATCAGCCAAACTCCTGAGAAATCATCACATAAGATTAGTTCAAGAAAACCAAATCAAATTGAAGGCAAGAGCAACTCAATTCCAAGTATGTTTGCACAAATACCTGTGTTCCTGCCGTCCAAGCCCAAAATAGTTTGCAAGAGTGTCCATCTGCAACAAAATCATACGTCTCATGTATGTATCAACATCTACAAACAAAATAGATCAACATCTAGAAGCTGCGCAACTTTTCTGCCTCAAAATTACATATTTCATCTTGCCCTTTAAAGATTGATTTGAATCAAAATCTAACGGATAACATTTACACACATATATGTTATAATATGAGAGATGGAGAGAAAATGGAATACCTTCATGTTACCAGCTCTCCTTCCAAAGCGCTGTTCCAACAATGCCAAGGAATCAATAGTACCCTTGGGTTTGGGTGCAGGCCGACCAATGTGTGCGAACGCCTTCTGGATCAGAGCACAATCAAACCCCAGTATATTGTGACCTGCCCATATACGTCCTACAGACAACAACCATAAAGAAAAATCTCAACAAATAATTATTTTTAACCACCACCAAAAAAAAAAAAAAAAAAAAAAAAAAAAAAAAAAAAAAAAAAGGCTTCATATTGAAAAATGAATCCCAAATAATTTTCCACCATCTACAACTACAGAAATGAAAATCCAAAGCAACCCTTAAAGAAAATAGATTGAGCTTAGTCTAGTCTAGGAACAAATTCAACAAATATAGTAAGATAATATATAAAATGACCTTGCTTGCAATTCAAACCAAACAAATCATGATTATGACAATGGGTCTAGCCGAGTAAAATTTGGAATTGACTTGTAGACAAATAGTCTAAGCTTCGAGTCTCTATGTTGTATGTGAGAAACTTTAGTTTAGACTAGTGTTTGTACCAAAAATACAAAACAAAAAAAGCATGATTATCACTTCAATAAAAAGAATCCAAATTTTCAGTGTCCTCAATTTCTCAGCAACCAAACACAAACAGTTAGAGACTTGGCAAGAAAAGGAAAAGGAAAGGAGGAAACCATGGAGAATGTCGTAGACCTCATCTGCAATATCTTGAAAGGTAGGGGAGGAAGCGACGGTGTCTCTGTTAATGCCATTGCTGCGCATGGGCAAGGGGGCGATTGAGGAGAGGTCGGCGGGTCGGACCAGGGTGGAGTAGGCGTCGAGCTCCACCAGCGTACTCGGGCAAACCAGAATCGCCCCGAACTCCAATATGATGCATTCCTGGCCGGGTTGGGTCGGCTTTGTTGTCTCCAAGTCGAAGAACGCGTATTCGAACCGGTCTTCGCTCCTTACCATTTCTTTCTATCTTCCACGACAAGACGATTGTGTAATGAAAAACAGAATGATTGTGTTGAAACTGTTAAAAGGGTTTTGATTTGATGCTCTCAAGACTTAACTTAATCATTGAAATTTAACCCGCAAAGTGTATATAAAAGGAGTTGAACAAGGCTTTGCTTGCTTGCTAAGTAATTCTTGAATTTTTTTCCGCGCCAGCTTTGCTTTGTGCTTCTCTCCCAAGCTTCTTTTCTCCGGCGGGACCCCGCTGTTTCAGATGTCAAAGTACATGCATCTCCAGCAAACTTTGCAAATTTACACCCTCCCACTATTGTTGTTTCTGGGGACCCGGCGGTGTAAAAGGGATTTTACGTATCCACAAATAGGAATGTAATATATGGACATCATCGTTGCGTTAAAGGTAGTAATGCCACCAACGGGTCCCTTTGGAAAAGCAACTTGATTTTCAAACCAATATTCTCAAGTTTGAATCCGATGACACCTAAGCAGTGTGTGCGAGAAACATCCCTCTTTGTAATTTAGACTATCACTTACATTTAAATTAAAAAAAGTTTGTTGAAATGACAGAGGAATCATTACGGCAGGGCATAAGGACCAAAGCTTCAAACAACCGTAGGAGCGCCAAAAGGACCTTGTTCCTCTTCCCATGTCTAGTTTGCTTTGTTGTTCTAATTCCCACCGTCCGACATCTAGTTTGTGATCAAGCACAACACAATTTATATACGTCTATGCATTTCTATATGAAACAGAATATTAATGAGAACCGTGTAGGGACTTTGCCTACTTGAAAAACATGAATTGATGCAAGCTCAATATAATGCAATAGGGTCTTTGTCACTTCAGATGTCTCGGATTCAAGAGCACATCTAGCATCCTATATTTGTTTCAGTATTCATTATAACATCATGACATTTGGCTGCTCTTGCTGTGTTACTTGCCTACTTGCCCCATGGACCAGCTACCGGCCCCCATTCTCTCTGGTGCACGGGCATGTGCTCCCTCTCTCGTGGCGGCTTGCCTTGTCCTCTCCTCTGTCTGCCACCATCTTCAATCAAGAGTTTGGGTTCTCAAACCCTTTTCTCTTTCTACGTGGCAAACAAACTTCAGAAGTGAAAATTAAAAAACATAGGATGATCATGGAGATACTAATCTTTGTTGCAGAAGAGAAAAGCACTAAGGAAGAAGAAGTTAAGCTAGTTAATCACCCCATAATGGAAACTTCCTCAACACTTCATTATCTTACAAATCCTTAACAATTTAATTGTGGGGATAAGGTTGTTGCTTCCAAAATTGGAAGTGAAATTGACCAACACTCGAAGCTTACGAGTATGTCTACCCCATTTGCTTTACCGAACGGACAAAAAATAAAGCACAAGATTCATCAAAAGAATCAAACATAATAGTTGGGGCACTTTCTATTTCTTCATCTGCTCGCTTTTTTTGGGGGGGGTCATACATCCGCTTTTTATTAACTGCTCTTCCAAGGCTTCTAGCAGTCCAAATATGCCGACTACTTTAGCATATACCAATTTACTTTTCCTTGGATTCAGTTCTGGTCATGTACATACTCGGGTTCCCTACGTTAATAAGTTCATGATATACAGATTGCACTTTGCTTTATTTTACTGGCTGTAATGACAACGTCAAGACCGACTGACTTAGCCATTCAACGTTACAGAAAATGTAGAATAATAAAGAATATGTATGGTAACATATTTAAAGAATATGCATGGTAGCATATTTAAAGAATATGTATGGTAGCATAGAGTTTGGAGTTACATCTCACAACTATCAGTATCCCTGTTTTCCATTTTCGATCATGAACATGAAAAACTGTTCTCCTGAATACGTCAATCTACTTCAATCTAATTAACAAAGCAACAGCCACCCTTGATTGAATAAATCAGTGATACAAATTCATCCATCAATTCGAATGAATAATCAATTTCTTTGCCACCAACCTAATGCCTGCACTCTGCTGATAGTCATATGGGTCCAAGGAGAAGAAAGCATCCATAAAACTCCCCTGTTTGAACAAGGTACTAAGTTCTGAAGCATCAAACTTAGTGAAGACTAGCCTCTCCTCAGTGCCAGAAGGCTCTTTTTTATATATCTCTGTGGCATAGATCGCAACATCCCCCCATACTGCTGTCTGTATACTGCAGAAACAAACATAGAAAGCATCGCATATCTAATCAGGTCAGATGAATCTTCAAGGAGGGAAATTTTGAAGTACTCTTCATCTACACTACTAAAAAGGTCATGACTTGCAAGGTTATAAAACTTTGGCTCAGTTTATTTTGTAGAAAAAACAGATATTATAAAACAGAGTTTGATACACTGGGATGAAATGTAACTTTCTCAATAGCCAATGAACTGCAGAAAAAACCTGTGTTTTCTTGTGAGAGAGAGAGAGAGAGAGAGAGAGAGAGGATAAAAGCGAGGACTAAGACTAGAACTTACTGCAATCTCACTGTAGGGTAGTTGTAGAAGCCCTCTTTCCGGATCACAACAGGTCTCCATTCGGAGTTGCTTCCAGAATCCACAGACAACTTCTGTGCAATGCCATCACAAGCATCAAGAACTTCACATAAATTTGGTGATGCATCGGCAACAATATTCAATCTTGGTCGTCCAGCATGATAAAAAAACTTTGTATTGATTCCAAACCGTAATTTCATACGCCTACAGCAAAGCTGCAAAGTGACATCTTTGTGTAATAACTTTATCCTCTGACTCCCACGATACAACGGAGCAAGGGAAGCACAGATAGAAGGAATAAAAACTTCATCAGGCTGTAAAAATCCCACACTGCTATTGCAACTCTCAGATGCAGCAGCTGGGGAAGAACTATTGGAAGTCTCTGGTACAGGTACTTCTAGCATGGTGGTGTCTGGCTGATTCAACTCTTTCTGCACTTCAATGCTGAGTGGGGCCATGTCAAAGGGATCCGGTTGAGCTGTGATAGGTTCAACCAGATTAGAGACTTCTGCGTTTTGAGTCCTAAGAGATGCTATTGGATGATTCTCCCCTGTTCTTTGATTTGTAAAAGATAACACCTGAGCATCCTCTTGCATAGTTAATGAGGAAGTATTCATGTTCATTTGTCCCCTCTTCTCAGCAGATGATTTTCCATCACTACGACTTCTTGTGGTAGCATTTGGAGAAACCCAACTGTTCTCCGTGAATATATCTGGGAGGCTCGACTCCTGTGAGTACATCAGACTTATAGTCAATTTTTTACTATTGATATATTTTCTTGAGTTTTACCTTCAAACAGTCCAACAAGTGAAATTCAATATAACTATACGAAGTGTGAACATATTAATGCCATATTAATAAAGAATGAATTCGTTCTCCATGCCTTTCAAAATAACATTATTACCAAGAATAAGACGGTTGCACAGTATTTCAAAACTTCAAGATTCATACGAACATCATCCAAACTCCTGAAAAATCACTAGATAAAACATAAGTTCAAGAAAACCAAAATGAAATCAAGAGTGAGTAACTAAATTACGAGTATGTTTGCACAAATACCTATGTGTCTGCTGTCCAAGCCCAAAATAGGTTGCAAGGGTGGCCATCTGCACAAAATAATACATCCCAAGTATGTATCAACATTCACAAACAAAATAGATCAACATCTAGAAGCTGCACAACTTTTCTGCCTCAAAATTACATATTTCATTTTGTCCTTTAAAGATTGATTTCGAAGAATTTAAAAAACTTATTTGAATCAAAATCTAACGGATAAGATTTATCATATATACACGCACATGTTATATATGAGAGATGGAGAGAAAATGTACCTTCATGTTACCAGCTCTTCTTCCAAAGCGCTGTGTCAACAATGCCAAGGAATCAATTGTACCCTTGGGTTCGGGTGCAGGCCGACCAATGTGTGCGAATGCTTCCCGGATCCGAGCACAATCAAACCTCAGTATGTTGTGACCTGCCCATATACGTCCTACACACAACAACCATAAAGAAAATATCCCTCAACAAAATAAAATATCAACAAAAAAGTTTCGATGTCATCATTGAAATGAATCTCAAATTTTCCACTACCTACAACCACAGAAATGAAAATCCGAAGCACCCCTTAATTTTTTTTTTTTAATTGAGCCTAGTTTAGTTCAGCTAATCTTGCTTGAGTCGTTCTTAGTATTCCGATTCCTTCCTTTCATACCAAAAACAAATTCAACATATTAAAAAATAAAAATAAAAACTTGCTCGCAATTAAAACCAAACAAAGCACAAATATCACTTCATTTATGAAAAAGAATAAAAAATTTCACTTTTTTTTTCAATTTTTCCTCAATTTCTCAGCAACCAAACACTAACAGTTAGAGAATTAGCAAGAAAGGAAAAGGGAAATGAGCAAACCATGGAGAATGTCGTAGACCGTATCGGCGATCTCTTGAAAGGTAGGGGATGAAACGACGGCGTCTCTGGTAATGCCGTTGCAACGCACGGACAAGGAGGAGATTGAGGAGAGGTCGGCGGGTCGCACCAGGGTGGAGTAGCTCTCGAGCTCCACCAGCTTCCTAGGGCAAACCAGAATCGACCCGAACTCCAATATGGTGAACCCCTGGCCAGGTCGGGTCGGCACCGTCGTCTCCACGTCGAAAAAAGCTATTTCAAACCGGTCTTCGCTCCGACTCACCATTTTCTATCTTAGCCAAAACGACAGTTACTGAACGATCGTGGGTTTTGATTTGATGCTCTAACACTTTATTTCTTGAAATTTAACCCGCCAAGTGTATATAAAGGAGCGGTTGAACACGGCTTTGCTTTCCGACCTAAAAAATAAAGAACACGGCTTTGCTTCCTTGGTGGGGTTTTGTTTGGTTTGCTGTTAATTTAGTTTTTGGGCCTAAACAGGCCCACGAAAAAGGCTTTTGCTTTGGTCCTGCTTGTCCTCAATAGGTGGGTGACCTGAGCAAAGAAGCAATATGGGAATGCATATATGGTATCTCATTCCTTGCCTTGCCTTGGTGTATGACCAAAGCTTCAAATAACCCTAGGAGCAAGCCATGCATGAGGCACTTTGCCTTCTTGGAAAGCATGAATTGGTGCAAGCTCATTATAATTTAAGTGTCTTTTACTTCAGCTGTCTCAGAATCAAGAACACATCTTAGCATCCTATACTCGTTTCAGTATTTCTTTAGTTCATATGGATAAGAAGAGGGCAGATGTAAAATATTCATTTGAATGAACCATGATGTTGTGTTGCATGCAATGGAAGCCCTCTGATTACAAAGAATGGTACATCTATTTAATTTACAAAGACTGTTTTAACTTTACAGGCTAAAAAGTTTGAGAGAAAGCTTGAGGACATGCTTCTGTTTGACTTACCCATCAAGAGATAAGAATGATTCTAGTGTTCTACTGTCAACATAGGACTCTGAAAGAACTTGTGACTCTAAAAATTAAACAAAAAGGGTCATCACAGAAAATGATATCCCACTAGAAATGATGAAAATGGATGCAAGTCCGTATACTGTATGTCAGACAAGATGTTGCCAGTAGCATGGCAGATTGCATTGCAGGAAAATTGACCCTAAGCTTTCCAAATTCAAAAAGGAGAGAGAGCTGTCTGAGATGTCCACATATTTTTCTTGCTATTCTGCAACATGGGAAAGCATATCTGATATGTCTGGTTTGGAGCCCTCCTGCAGTGCTGGCCTGGTGATTTCACCAAGCATCTCATAGATTACAGATGCATGCTTATGGGTCCTATCACCTGCCACAAAATCATGAACAACTCCATTGATTTGAACCCAACTTCGGCCTGGGGGCTTTCTCACGCCCATCTTAACCATTTTCTGCCTCACAGAAGCAACATCTAGCCATCTTTTAGTAGAGGCATACACGTTTGATAAGAGCACAAGATAACCTGCAGCTTGGTCAGGGTCAAGTGCAACTGTCAATTTTTTAGCCACGTGTGATGCGAGCTCAGCATTCTTGTGAACCCTACAACCGCCAAGGAGAGCACCCCACACAGCTTCGTTTGGATTCATGGGCATAGTCTCCACAAGCATATGTGCTTCTTCCAGAAAACCAGCTCGGCTCAAGAGATCAACCATGCACCCATAGTGCTCAATCCTTGGGGTAAGTCCGCAAGTTTGCATCATGAACTTGAAAATTCGGCGGCCCTCGTCAACTAATCCAGCATGGCTACAAGCACACAAGACACCAATGAAAGTTATCTCATCAGGTCTTACATCATCAACTCCGGAGCTCAGCATCAATTGAAAGATATGAAGAGCTTCCTCCCCGTGACCCTGCTTTGCAAACCCAACGATGATGCTGGTCCACGAGACAGTGCTTCTTCTTGGCATCTGATTGAACAATTTATAGGCTTCTTCAATTAAACCGCAACTGGCATACATGTGTATGAGTGCATTGTACAAAGTCACCAACCGTGGCTCGGACTTCATCCACAATCTCTCTTCAATGTACCAGTGAATCCACCTTCCCAATTTCAAGTCCCCTATTTCAGCACAGGCCGATAACGCTGCCACTAGCGCCACCTGGTCCGGTTCCACATTGGACCTCCTCATCTGACCAAACAAAGACAAAGCTTGCTTGCACCTCCCATTTTGAGCACACCCCGCAATCATGGTTGTCCACGAGACAATATTCCTCTCTGGCATCTCGTCAAAAACTTGCCGCGCCCCATCAACATTCCGACACCTTATATAGCCCGCAAGCAGTGAATTCCAACTCACAACACTCCTCTCACCCATATCGTCAAACACCCGGCGTGCATACTCAACGCCACACCCTGACCCTCCACTAATTGCATACAAATTAACCAAACTCGTCTGGACAAACACATTAGAACCAAACCCATTTGCCAAAACTCTCGCATGCACCTGCTCCCCTTCTCTCACCAACCCTGACCTCGCACAAGCACTAAGAACATACAAATAAGTAAACCCATCAGGCTCAGCCCCCACACCCACCAGCTGATTATATAATTGAACAGATTTTCGGGGAGTTTCACTTCTGGAATGGCCTCTAATCATCTGGTTCCACAAAGTAGTACTAGGGTTTTCGACATTTTCAAAAATTTTGAGGGCATGATGGAGACACCCAGAAGATACATAGAATGATAATAATCTAACAAGAATGTAGCTTTTTTGGTTGAACCCGTGAACAAGTATTTGGGTATGAATTTGGGTAAGTTTTCTTATGGAGTTGCAGCTCTGTAATAGAGAGAAGAGGTACTGCTGTAGAGCTTTAGAAGTCGCAGGGCTGGTGGCGGGAATGGCTTCCATAACCGACATTTAAAGAAGCGATTGGCAAAGCAAAACAAACTTGGCGTAATAATAAGGAGCTCAACGACGTCGTTTTAATTGCGCGAAATAATCATTTGAGCAAATGTTGAAGCTCTTCTGTTCCACACACACACCCATCTTCACCTACTACCAGTTCCACTTCCACCAGATGTTGAAGCTTTTAAGAGCACTTTCTTTCTCATCATCTCCCTCTTCTTCTTCTTCTTCTTTTTCTTCTTCCTCTTCCTCTTCCTCTTCTTCGTTATCCAATTTCACGAGCACCATACTCAAATGTCAAACCCCTACCCAAGCACTAGAGCTCTTCAATATTGCGTCAAAGCAAATGGGCCCAAGAAAGAATCTTCATCTTTATGCAGCGATTACCCATGTTTTAGTCAATGCCCAACGGTATGTTAAATCCAGGTGCTTGATAAAAGACCTCATCCACGACCTTCAAAAGTTCTGCAACCCCAGCCGTGCTTGTCACTTGGTTTTCGATGCACTTAACTGCTTAGAAAGCTCAAGGTTTTCTCCAGATGTGTTTGGAGTGTTAATTATTGGGTTATCCGAGATGGGCCTTGTTGAAGAAGCCTTGTGGGTGTACCGCAACATTGGGGTGTTGCCTGCAATGCAGGCTTGTCATGCGCTCTTAGATGGGTTGGGCAAGACCGGTCAGCTCAAATTGATGTGGGAACTTTATAATGAAATGAGTTCTCGTGGATTGTCACCCAGTCTTGTTACATATGGCGTGTTAATTTGTGTATGTTGTAGAGAAGGCGATAACTTGAAGGCCCGTAAATTGTTTGATGAAATGGGTGAGAGAGGGATTAAACCAACGGTTGTGATCTTTACATCTATTATTCGAGGTCTGTGCAATGAGGGTAGAATGGTGGAAGCGGAAAGTATATTTAAGATGATGGGGGAAGCTGGTGTGCTCCCAAATCTGTGGACTTACAGTACTCTGATGAATGGGTATTGCAAATTGGCTAATATTAAGCAAGCCCTTATCTTGTATGGGAAGATGCTAGGCGATGGCTTGCAGCCAAATGTTGTGATATGTAGTATTTTAATTGATGCACTTTGCAAATTAGGCCAACTGAGAGCTGCAAGGAGCGTTTTTGTATATATGGTTAAGTTCGGCATTGTTCCTAATATATCTGTGTATAATGCTTTGATTGATGGGCACTGTAAGGTTCAACAATTATCTCAAGCTATGGATTTGAAATCAGAGATGGAAAAGTTTGGAATTTTGCCGGATGGCATGACTTACAGCATCCTAATTAAAGGTCTGTGTACTGTTGGTGGAGTGGGAGAAGCACATCACTTACTTCAAAAGATGGAGAAAGAGGGGTTAATTGCGGTTTCTGTGATTTATAATTCACTAATTGATGGGTATTGTAAAGAACACAATATAGGGAAGGCTTTGGAGGTGTGCTCTCAAATGATTCAAATTGGTATGGAACCCGATGTCATCACCTTCAGTACTTTGATTGATGCATATTGCAAGATGGGGAACATGGAAGCTGCTATGGACTTGTACTCACTGGTGAGTAAAACCCTTGTGCCTGATATAGTAACTTACACAACTTTGATCGATGGGCATTTTAAAGTTGGTAATGTGAAAGAGGCTCATCGGCTGCATCAAGAGATGCTGGAGGCAGGCCTCACACCGAATGCTGTTACTGTTAGTTGCTTGATTGATGGCCTGTGTAAAAATGGAAGGACTTCTGGTGCAGTCGAACTTTTTCTGGAGAAAACTAAAGCTGGCCCCTCTATATATTCCCCAAATCACATAACTTATACAGCTTTAATTCATGGTTTGTGTGAAGAAGGCCAAATTTTCAAGGCAACCAAGTTCTTTTCGGAAATGAGATGCTATGGTTTGAGACCGGATGCATTAACTTACGTTGTCATGTTAAATGGGCACTTCAAAGCCAAGCATATGATTGGCGTGATGATGCTGCATGCAGATATGATAAAGATGGGTATGATGCCCAGTGCACGCATATGTGCAGTCTTAGCTAGTGGTTATCGAGAAAGTGGTGACCTAAAATCAGCTCAGGCATTGTGAGGAGGATAAAATGGAATTAGGTTGGTTCTTGGTCGTAAGAGGCTACAGTTTGGAATAGAATTAAGGTCTCTATATCGGGTTCATGCTGTGTTATTGGCTTAAGTAACAGACAAGTTGGATTAACATTACGTCTTCTCTACTGAGAGGTAAAAGACTAACCTATTTGTTGAATAGTGCAATGCTTACTATTGTGAACGGGTTTTAAAGCCTGCAAATAAACTCGGATGCTCATGGTCATTGTCAAAACATTCCTGATTCGAGTTAGGCCAATCTTGTTCGACAGTTTCTATTGCTTACATAAACTAGCTCTGTTGGTTTGGTTCATATTTGTATTTCAATTTGTTAAAATTGTCACAGAGCAGAAGTTAGTGTAGCAGCAAACTTGGATAATGTGAAGTTCATAAAATCATGTTATTTTTTTATTTGGTCGAATGAGGTGATATTATTAAGGTTCGAAATCCTCAAGATATTAGAAGAAGGGAATGTTGCTTCTCGCATGGAATTCTCACAGCAACTTTCTCAGTGTGTGATTAGTCCAGGGCAAGCCTATTTGAATTTCCACTCCATAAAGCCTTGTCTTAAATGTTTTGGTTACTTTGAAACGGATAATGAGATTCCTGAAAGGTTTCCTTTTATCCAAACAAGGGTGGCAAAGCCTTCTTTCCCATTTCATATGACTGAATGTTTTGCTGAGCATGTGACTGAAATTTTTTTGCTGGATGAAATCACGGATGTGCTTGATATTTTGTCAGTTGGTAAAGGATGTGATGGCTACAATATACTCATGTATGATACTGTGAGCTAAATTTTATGGTATAGCATGTGCAGCAAGAAATCTTGGGCAAGGATAAAGCCTCCCGTGCATCCAATGTACTTCATTGTTTTTTTTCTCTACTAATTTCTAGCAGTGTCCACATGCAGCTTGTATATATATAGATATAAATCAACACAATGCTCTGCTTCTATAAATTTGGGTTTTGGGGGTTTTTTTGCAGTAAATGATTAGAAGTTTTGGATATAATTATAGTTTATTGCAGGCTACGCATTAATTTCAATTTGATCATTTTGAGAAAATCAATCTCAGTTTTCGAATTCTGGAACGTATATAGTCCAAGACAATTATTGTGCAAGTTGTAGCATAACATGTGGTGGTTATGTTCTGAAATGATTTTGGTGCTCTGAGTTTAGTTGTCGTAATCCATGAGACAATGGGGTTTAATCCTTAAAATGGAGAAGGAGTTATGAGCTTAATTTAGAACTCTGAAAAGGTGAGATGTGGTAAAATTTATGATCAGATCCTCAAAATATCTGGCTGAAGGCCGTGCAAGCCGACCCGAAGTTTGGTAGGCCAAACTTTTTGTTGGGTAACTGGTGTATTTGTAGCATGGGAGTTTGATTGCTGCATGGATATGTGCATCTCTAGGCCTTGTGCTTGTGTGCTGCTGATCTGAATTGCAATGGAGAAAGGTAAGCAAATAGACATTGGCAACAGCAGCAGGCATTATGGTAGCAGCAGAGCTAAGAGCAAGAACATGTCCATTGATTGTAGCAGAGTAAGAATTTCGTCGTGTGACCATGAGGCAGAGAGTTGTGAGGAGGTTTGCACACTACTGGCAAAATGCAGTTATCAGGGTACGTAATGTAACATAACGTACGTGTATGTATATGGCAGGCAATCCTTTCTTCTTGCACTTTGACCATGGGCTGAAACGAAGTTCCCAATTAATTGTTTTCTTGAATTCCAAGCAGTTTGGAGTTTGGATGTATAATATGCAGCAGCTCTGTTTTCTAGCATGTACAACCTTGAGTTTCAATACTATTATCAACAGTAAAGCCGCTTTAAATACGCCCCGCTATACTTTTAAATATATACGAATATTTTGACGGTATAGCCGATCGGCTATACACTATGATCTTTAGTATATTCGAATATTTTAAGCGTACAGCCGAACGGCTATACTCTTTAAATCATTCGAATAATTATATTAATATTTAAAGCGCATAGCCGGACGGCTATACTGTTGATATATTCGAATATTTTAACAGTATAGCCGCCCGGCTATACTGCACAAAATGGTTTTCTTTTTTAATTACTTTAATTATTATTTCTTTAGTGAATCATTAGTGTTTATATATTTTATTAATTTCATAAATTACTTAATAAATAGTAATTAATTTTTTTAAATTATTTGGTGGAATTTGTATTTTATTTTATTTATACAAAATTAGTTTGTATAGTTTAATTAAGTAATATCTTAACTTTTTTTTAATTATTATTATTATTATTTATGTTTTAATTAATTATATTTACTTATCTTAAATAATTTTGTGGACTTTGAAATTACTTTTAAAATCTGAATATATTTTAAAAATAGTTTTAGTTTTTTTTAAATTATTTTAGTATTCCAAAAATGGATTTGAGCCTCCAAACCTTAATTCCAAGTCTCAAAAGCTAACCACAAGACTACTATGAGGCACTTATGACTCGATTAATCTTGAATACTCACGTAATTCGACCTAGGGTTTTACAATTAGAGTTTCCAAATTTCGCCGAGAAACAATTTACGTTGTACTAACCCCAAGACCTAATCTATGATTATTAAATATTAAGTATTATGTATATATAATCCAAACCCAATCAAAAGGTGAGGCCCAAGTTCCACTCTACTAGGCCCAACTTCCACATAGCACGTGTGGAAAGACTCCCACTTAGAAGGAGTAGAGACTTTCTCTTACTTTTTGACGTAGGACTCAAGTTCATGTATTTCATTCAAACTCCAACAAGTAGTTGATATTCTCGAATCACGTTGTGACTTGGATTTAGGATTTGGAGGCTAAAATCCATTTTCAGAATATTAAGGACTCAATTAGAATCCAAACCTATAAAAATAAAAAAAAATTGCACAACATTAAAAGTTTATAATTATTTAAGTATATAAAAAGAACATTATAGTCACAACATATTAAAGTAATGATTGACGTAATCCAATATTAAGAGTTGTTTAGATTTAAAATGAAAGTAGTTATTAACAATTGTTTTTTGGTAACTTCTTATTTATACTAGAAATTTATTAAACTAATTACTAAACGTCAGTTTAAACAACAAAAAAAAAAAAAAAAAACATGGATAAACATCTGAATGCTGAAGCTGGTCATTCATTGATATCATCCTTGCTGCAGTTGGCCCTCCCATAGTGCAAGCACGAGAATGTTGAAGTATATAATGCAGTCTCTCCATTTCCAGCATAGTTCAGTGATCAGTAAGCTTACTAGTTTTACATCACAAACCTTATGCACTATATTTCTTGTATCGAAATGGATAAAAACAATGTGCTTGGGAGCCATGTAAATCAGCACATCATACTTTGCTTTCCTTGTTGTTTTGAAGTGCTGTCGAAGCAGGACGAAAGCCGTTTTCTTTACAATTTCGTAAAATTTGGTGTTACTGATTATCTGGTCAAGCCATTATGCATTGATGAGATATTAAACTTGTGGATCCACTCTTGGAGGCAGAGGAAGCCTCCTAAGGTAGGCATCCCTCTCTTTTTTTTTTTAACAACATGAGAATGGCTGGTTACTGAGTGATCCACATTGTGCTCAAATCTTTCCCTTGTCACCAACTAGACAAACAGTTAAATCGAAAAACACTCATATATGTTTGTGTCTTTGTTTGGTTTTCATTTTCTCTTACAGGGGCTCGAGCCGCCAACGGAAGAGCATTAGTCTTGTGGTTTCAGCCAAAGCAACTATGAACAACATCTTGGTGTTAGATGACACTATCACAGATGAAGAGTTTCCAGAGGATTATAATGACTGAGCTTCTATGTTGCAAACAAAATTTGGTTGTCCATGAACTTCAAAAACCAAATTGTTAGGCTCAGAAGGGTTTGTTTTTTAGTTTATGCTTGCTTTTATGATTCAAGAAAAATCTAGGGTTAAACGTTTCCCTGGCCTCAGACAGAAGAAACAAGCACCTAGGAGGGATCCACCATGACTATTAGCAAGGTTGGTTATGCATATAGATTTTATGTAGCAGATGAACACCAGTGGTATTAAGAGCAAGGGGAACAAATTTGAAATGGTCCAAAATTCACCCACAGTGTTGTGATGCTAAAAAGTCCTCTGCTTCTGGTTTTTCCTATTTAAAAGTATTAATAACAATTAACCAAAATGATATGTTATTGTAGCTAACAATTAACGTAATGATTTTTGTAATTAAATTTGATTAGAGATTGAACAAGCACAAACCAATATTGAATATAAATAAATACGTAATGTCATTTCTATCCTTGATAGCTCAATTTTGGTTGCTCTTGTAGCGAAGATCATGAGATTCCTGAAAAGGTTTCCTTTGGCAAAACCTTGTGCCCCATTTCATCTTCCTAAAACCCAACTTCACACACACCTCAAACCACCTAAAGCAAACCAGACCCTTAAGAGATACCTCAAATCCAATTGCACCATCAAAGCTTTCTTACTGTTTAGAGACATATTGAGAAAAAGCCCTTCCACAATTGATAGCTATACTCTCTTGTTTGTCCTCAAAGCTTGCTCCCAAAAGTCTCTCTCACTTGAGGGGAAACAACTGCATGCCCTTTTGCTTAAGTATGGCTTTCAATCCATAGTTTACCTCCAAACATCTCTTATGAATATGTACTCTGCTGCGGGTATTGTTGTAGACGCACACCTAGTGTTTGATGAAATACCCTGCAAAAACATAGTTTGCTGGACCTCCTTGGTTTCTGCTTATGTCGACGATCAACAGCCTAACAAAGCTCTTCAGCTGTTCAGGCAGATGCAGATGCACAGTGTGGAACCTGATCAAGTTACGTTGACAGTTGCTCTCTCCGCGTGCGCTGATCTTGGAGCATTGGAAATGGGAGAATGGATTAATGCTTATGTCCGTCGTAAATATGAGTTCGATACAGATTTAAGCTTGAGCAATGCTCTTGTTAACATGTATGCAAAATGTGGGGATATTGGAACTGCAAGGAGATTGTTCGATAGCCTGCAAGAAAAGGATGTTATGACTTGGACATCAATGATTGTGGGGCATGCGTTACATGGACAAGCAGAAGAAGCGCTTAAACTCTTCGGACAAATGAAAGAAGCGAGTAATAACACCAGGAAGAACAAGAAGGACGGTAGCTATGGAAGCTCTTCAATTGTCCCGAATCACATTACTTTCATAGGAGTTTTGATGGCCTGCAGCCACGCAGGGCTGGTAGAGGAAGGGAAGTGGCATTTCAAAAGCATGTGTCAAGAGTACGGTTTGAAGCCCAGAGAAGCTCACTTCGGCTGCATGGTGGATCTTCTCTGCCGAGCCGGGCTTCTGCAAGAAGCTTACGATTTTATTTCGAAGACAGAAGTGCCTTCAAATGCAGTGGTTTGGAGGACCTTGCTGGGTGCATGCAGCCTCCATGGAGATGCTGAACTCGGGTCACAAGTGAGGCAGAAGCTGCTTGAGTTGGGGCCAAGTTATGTTGGCGATGATGTTGCTTTGTCCAACATCTATGCTGCCAAAGGCATGTGGGAGAAGAAGGTGATTGTTAGAGACCAAATAAAGCAAAGAAGATCTCCTGGTTGCAGTTCAATTGAGGTGGGAAGGAGCATTGCTGAAGCAAAGAAGATCTCAAGCAGTTGATTCTAAGTATATGGCCACTCTCCTGAGCTTTCAAGCCTAAACGAGTCTTGAGGGAGAACAAAGGTTGTAGTGCAACTGTGTTGCTACTTGTAACTTAAATATCAGTACTTGTTTTATATGTTTCAAGATGGACTTTTATTTTCTGAGGAATGCATGAATGATCTTAGGAAAATTAAAGAAAGAATTTAATCTTAAGTTTAGATTAGTTATATAAACATAATGAATTAAAGTCAACTACATTTGATATTACCAACAAACAATGACAACTCACCTACATTTGGTGCCAACATACAGTGTCACAACGTCACGATACATATGCAAATGGATTCCAACCTCTGTATTTAAAGATTCTTAAAGATTCCAAACCTATACATTGAAAGATACATGCTACATCTAGAAATATTTTAATCAACTAATCAAATAACTTAAATGTAATACGTCAATTTTGAAATTATGACACATCTATATTTAATTAACAATTGTTCTAATACTTTAATCTGATAACTTTAATATAAGCCGTAAAATTTTGAAATTATGACACACATGTATATTTAATTAACAAATATTCTAATAATTTAATCTATTAACTTAAATATATGCCGTGAATTTTGGAAATTTTGACACATATATATTTAAGTAACTTCAACTTGACATTATTAAGTCTAAATCAAAACAAACAATAGAGAAAAAACCAAAAACCAAAAACCTGACCCCACCGTGACAGCCGCCCATGACCCAACCCAAACCACCCCACCCTACCCTTTTAAGAAGAACTTACATGTAATGTATATGTCACCGTGCCGGTACCCTAAACCTATGAAGTATTACTATATCGAAAATTTCGCATTGTTACGTCGAAAAGTTGAAATACATGGTAACAAGTGATTGATTCGGAATTAAACTACAGTGATATTCTGGTATAAATAAGTTTTTATCCACCTCACTCTTGCAACCCCTTCCCTCCATGCCGCCGGCCAACGCCCTCTCCTCTTTTTCCGCCTATTTCTCCCTCTCTTTTGAGTTCAAACAACCATGAAGCGTCCGGACAAATCAATTCATGGAATCTTTCGAGCTCGGCTAGCCTACGAGCACCCACACCCATGTTCCCGACACAAGACACTCCAGAATAGTGAAAATCGGTGGGGTGGGGTCAGCTGCGAGGTTCGGGTTGGGTGGGTGGCTGCTTTTTAATTTAATTTTAATTGTCTATCATTTTATTCAGACCTTTTTTTCGAAAAGATTATGTTTTATTATTTAGACTTTTTTTTTTTTTTTTTTTTTTTTTTTTTTTTTTTTTTTTTTTGGAATTAGCAGCAATTATTTAGACTTATTACTTAACACTTACCACCTATGCCACCTATACTATCACACTCCACTTCTCATCCATTTTCCATTATTATTTTTCCTTTTATATTATTTTGGACTTTTAATTTAATATCTTTTTTGGACTTATCCAAGTCTCCAGAATTGATTGCTTTTCTCTGATATTTATCTTGCATTTTGCTTTGTCAATATCCTCCCCCTGTTTTGGATTTGTTATCGTCTCTGATACCACCCAAAATTAGCAAACAAGCTGTAAAGTTTGAGCCTTTATATCATTTAGTTGAATCTTGATCGGTAACAGTTCCCTCATTTATGTCATTAGCCTATCCTATCCGTTCAATTAATTTTCTGCAAGTTTCATGAACTAGGGCTAGGGTTCCATTTTCTACGTGTGACCCATTAATCTTTCTCAATCTCTGCCTGTAGTCTGAGATTTGTGCAGCAGAAAACCCCACTTTGAGTTTCAGTAATCCCACGAGGTTTTGCCTCTACTTGACCGTTATGGAGACCGCTGAGCTACAAAGGGTTGGAGTCGTTCAACGTGTTCCTCTGCTTATCATTAACTTCGTTGCTGGAGCTCTGGTTTTGCTCTGTGCTCTTGGTATTTACAAATTCTTATTGCTTTGTTTTATTTTATTTTGCTTTCCTCTTTCAATCTTGAATTTTTAGCGGTTGTGATATCATATCAGCTTGTGGGTTTTGGTTATTTTTCATATATGTCAGAGTGCGTGCCTGTGTTTATTGTGTTTGTATGGAACTTCATGTTTTGAACTTGATGTTCATGGTGTTTTCATTTCTATTTTTCAATAAATGTTTCAAGGATTGTAAATCTAATATGTAACTAAGAAATTGATGTTATTTCTCCCATGTCCGATTACGAAGAAGCTGATGTAACTATAAAATAGTAGTGATATATATTCTTTTTAATGGGGATTGATTTGCGTCTTTACATTATCTTCCTCTTGCAGCTGGATTTGTCACAGGAGGTATTGCTGGTGCTTTAGCTGGAAAAGCTTCTGATAAAGGTGTTGTTCGTGGAGCTGGACTGGGTGCTGTTGCTGGGGCTGTACTCTCTGTAGAGATTTTGGAGGCGTCACGTGATTTACTGCGACTAGGTCGGCCTGGTTCACGAAGATCTTCATTGATGGTTAGTTGTTACTCTCTGGTATATAAGTTTCTCTTTCTTTCTTTCACACCAAAGATGATCCTTAGAAATGTCTGAACCATGATTGAAAATTTTTGGTTTTCAGCTGAAGTTTATAATCAGGGACCCATAGTTAAGCTTATACAGGCATAGCATCACATCATTGTAATACTAGAGACTGCTTGTCTATTTTTTGGGTTCAGGCAGAAATTACAGAGGAGCTTATTTGTTGGAGATTTGAGGAGGAAAACTTAGCACCACCAGAAGGGCACACTGCTAACCAGTGGCAGGTTTTCACTCTTTAACCCACAAACTTTTTTCTTTTAAAGCAATATCATTTGAAAGTTGAAAATTTTGTGGGTGCACATAGGCATGTCCAGTTTAGTTGGATGCTAGCAAGTGGATTGTGTTTCCCTTTCTATCTCAGCTATCAATTTTGACTTCCTTATTACACCTTGTCACCTTTTCTTTGCTCCCAAATTTTTTATTCCTAGATTTTGATATGACCCAGCTGCTTTTGAATCCAGCCTTTGACCTCATTACACCTTGTCGCCTTTCTTAACACTTTATTGTTCTGAAAATTAATGATGGGACAAGTTATTCAAAAAAACTCTGATGGTGTGTCCCTCAGTTGCTTTTTATCTAATTTATTAAGCTGGAATGAGCAGGTTACCTTCGCTAATCTTCGCCGTGATGAGATTTATGATGCCTTTGGAGGATCTGAAACTAAAGGGCTGTCAAGGGATGTGCTGAAGAAACTACCATCTCATGTGATTGTGGGGGATACCAGGGCAGCTCAAGGTTTCTGTTGTACGATATGTTTGCAGGTCAGAACTCTTTCTAGGAATGCTTGAACTTTTTGTTTCTGGTAGTTGTAAGTGTTGATGTGGCGAAGATAATAATAGTTGTTGTACTGCTATTATGAAAATTGCTTAATCAATACTTAAATCTTAATTTTGTTTAAATATCTCTATAATTATCTTTAATATTTCAAGAACGGTGCAATTTCCCTACATGTATTAATTCACTTCGATTAACTGAAAAGGGCTCTGCCTAAATCTCAACGATAACAATATGGTTTCTGCAGGATGTTGAAGTAGGAGAAATTGCAAGGACCCTGCCCCTGTGTCAGCATAAATTTCATCTGGCATGTGTGGACAAGTGGCTCATCAGACATGCTTCGTGCCCGTTATGCAGACAAAATGTGTGAATGAAATACATGTATTTTGTGTACAGTGGTGTTTCAAAGAGAAGTTACTAGCCCATTAGTGGGAATGTATATAATGGTTATGGTCTTGTCCTGTACTTTTAGCCTTTGCAGTTTGGGGGTTTGTTTTTTGTTTTGTTTTTTTTCTGTACAGTGTAAATAACATAGTTCCTTACGAGTCATTATGTTACTCCTTTTAAAGATGGAGTGGATATTGAAAGTTGCTGTTTTAGACGCAAGTTATCAATACAAAAATTTCAGAAATGTTGGGAAAGAAACTTTATGCCTTGCAATGAAAATGCATTTGTGTATTTCAGACATTTTCAGAAATTTATGCTCCCCCCTGATCTTCTTCTCGTGCTCATTTTACTCTTAAGTCAGTATTTTCCTTTGACATTTCATTGTTTTTGGAGGTCTGGAGGCCATTTCACTCAAGAGTCAATATTTTCCTTTTGCATTTCATTAAACCCAAACGCATGCTCGCTGTTGAGGAGCTTTGCTTTATGCAGATGGCAAAATTTTGATAAACTATGTAGATAACATAATTTAATTTCTTTTTGGCCTGAATGTGCTGTTAGTTTTAAGTTTCGAACTCTGATTTAATTCAAAAAGGCAAGGAAGAAAAAAGGGAAGACAAGAAAATCCTTCATTAAGATGGAATGATCTGTTACAGAGCCAAGGGCTTGAAGTTCGAATTATCAAACCCCTGTATGGTACAGAATCTATGCATCACAGGGGGACCGCAGACTTGATTGCTTAATAGTTTATCTCTGTTCTCTGATACAAGAGAAGGTGAAAATGATGAGTATGCTTGCGAGCTTGTACTTAAATTTCTGCATATACAAAGATAACTTTGTTCAGGTTAGTCAAAAAAATTGTCAGAACAAGACCAAAATCATGCTTTCAAGAATCTCTTCTAAATTTACAAGCTTTGCCATTGCTCAAATCCATAGCCGTGCATCATGTTTTGAAATTCAAGAAGTCATCAAGCAGATGAATTTCAAGAAAACAATTTGGGCTGCATATTGGTGAATTGATTTACAGAAAATGCTAATAGGTTTTTGCTTATCACCACTGTTGAGGATTTCTTACCATGGTGATTCTTTTTCCCTTTTTCTCGTCTAATTGTAGTAATCCTATCCAACTACAGTACCAGAAATATCATACTCTGAAAATTCATTCAGAAACTCAAATGAAGTGAGGATATAACATATATGGCAATGATGACTATAGAATCACCTTTCGAAAACAACAGGATCATTTGGAGGTCATTTCACACTGCAACTGCTACAGGCCTTTTACTGTTCTTGATTCCTTTTATAGCTGCAAGATGGTAAATAGAAGCCAACATCAAGATATAAGTACATTAGTTCATCTGGACTAATAATATAGGTTTTCCGATCTGTACGGTTTATACCTTCAGCATAATCTTTAGCTCCAAAGACAGCAGAACCGGCAACAAGAGCATTAGCTCCAGCCTCAATAACCTGCCACCATAGCAAACATTTGAAACTGGACTCATTGCATCCAAAGTCGTGCACCTCCTTTCACACTTAACAAATGTGTTCAGGTTCAATCAATCAACACGACCCTGGCCCAACCCCCATTTTTCTTTACGGAACCTTTTCCCCAAGTCCCACTTTCTGCATTGATTTTATATTTCAATATTGTGGATCACAATGATAATGTCAAACATAATCTGAATCCAACAGTTGTTTTAATGTTTTCAGAGAGGGTAAGTTAGATTTTCTGATTACTTCTTAGCATGATGTAGTTAACCATCAGGCTCCATTTCAATTATTTTATAACAGGTACATCAACACTTGGTCCACACACCTTATATGCATTTGCTGGACCAACTCCACCATCCACTTCAATCCATGGGTTCACCCCCTGTAGTAATAACAAACAAACTATGAATACCTCTTCAGCTCACATAAAATGCAAGAATAGAATCCTACAAAATATGAATAGAGATCATACTTTCTCCACGCACAGTCTTCTTAATTCTGAAATTTTCTTCACTTGGCTCTCTATGAAGCTCTGCCCGCCAAAGCCAGGGTTTACCGACATAATCAAGACCAGATCAACCACTGAAACATGCAACAGATAGTCAATATCACTACTTTTCACTCGATGATATACCATATAACTCCAATTATAATATTGTTAGATGACTTAATACGGGAGTAACACTCATTTATCTCTTTGTACTCTCCCTTCCATGCATGAGCTCATCTTTTAAAAATTTAAGGGACAGATAAGTTTTTGTTTTTTAAGGAATATTCTGGCAGATTTTTTTATACAAGTTTTCCTTTCTTACGATATTTACATATATAAAATAGTTGTACTACTACAAGTAATTTCTGTAGAAACCATTGCTTGTTGTCAATACCATTAACCAATAATCCCCTCCAACATCTATATGTTAAAAACCTTTAGCAGAATACTGATATCCGACAAAAAAATTGGTCTTTTCGCCAGCATGTTTATTCTTGTTATCCAGATTTTCTTCACCTTTTTGTTTACTATTTCAATTATTTGAAGCTTAGCCTGTCAGGAAGGCTAGGTATGTAACTAGACCCAATCCCATGGGCAAAATACTCCACAAAGAGGAAAGAGCCTTGAGAAGCAAGATCCCCTTTAAAGTTTTTATAAGGCAACAGCATGACTATATTCCCTAAAAGAATGAGAACATATAATATTTTCACAGAAACACTCACCATCAAGGACGTAATCTATTGCAGTTAGTGGGGTACCAGGGTTGAGGACAACTCCAGCTTTAGCTCCCAGACTCTTTATCTGAATAATAATAAAAGTGTAGGATTACTAAAAAGATGAAATAGTAGCACAAACCAAATTCCTTTGCTCGTAATGATTGCATCTTATGCACCATAAATGTATGGTTACTTAACACAGTGTCTATAGCAAGGATAAGCCTAAATGCATTCCCATAAAACAAGAAAAACAATTTGGATCATGCAGCCCTAGCTTGGTTTCACCGTCTATGTCTATCACTTCTTCACTTCTCACAATTTGGATAAGCCTAAATACATCCCATGAATTCTGAGTAGAGACAAGATAACACAAAACTAATTTTAATGTAACTCAGATGTCTCCATGTTTTGACACATGTGCAATCACAAGGATAAGAGGGAAATCTTACCTGATTAACTGAACGATGTAAATGGATGGTGGACGATTGTTCAGCATGAACACTGACAATGTCGGCTCCAGCTTTAATAAAATCTGGCACTCGCTGCTCAGGTTCCACAATCATCTGGAGCATTTAAATTTCATATTAGTTCTTGCTTTTTATTCAATGTCTATCCAATTCATATCAAAACATGTAGAACAAAAAATACCAGATGCACATCTAACGGAAGGTCTGTCACAGGGCGCAAGGCATCAACTACAAGAGGTCCAATGGTAATATTTGGAACAAAACGACCATCCATTACATCCACATGAATCCAGTCACAACCTGCCAACTCTACAGCTTTTACCTAGATAAAGTGAGAGTCAAACTCTAACGCCCAAACCAATATGAAAATGCCACAAATATCAGCAAAACTGCTAAGAGTTTCAACTTATATTTCTACATTTGAAAATCTGATGCAACAATTCTAAACAATTTTTTGGCAATGAAACAGATTATAGACAATTTCAAGTTTCCATAATCCAAGTTGCCCTTACAATTTAGTAACTGAAAAAGAAAATTCCACTAAGAAGTTAAAAAATAAGAATAGAACCTGCTCTCCCAACTTTGCAAAGTTGGCAGAAAGAATAGATGGAGAAACAATTATATCACTTTTTGAGAATTTATCAACCCGAGCTGAAGCCTTCACCAGAGTCTTACATTTCTTCCTGAAATCAAACGAGCACGATTGCAGTCAGGCACAAAGTCAAATACCAATATATCAAACTTGATGACCATAATATCTATTTGAACACAGCACACAGAACTCTGCTCTTTATAAACAAAATCAAATGAATGCATTTACTTGAAATTCACCCTTCTCATAAAGCAAGAAAGAATCACTATTTTCTTAATGGCACTTTGAAGGAAAGCACATATGGGTGCAGCTCCAAAAAAGTTATCTTCATCTATGTCAACAGTCATCATCAGAACAAAATGATTTCCAGTATAAATTTTGACTCACGCCAATAAAACTGTGTGACAGTTTTTCAGAAAATTTAAACATTTCCAACGGTGTATTACTTTTCACAACTGGGTTTCATCCGAACACGCAAATATGATATCCTAGACTTGAAAATCCAAAATACAATAAAACCCAATTGGAATTCAAAGGAAAAAAAAACGTACACCAAATCAAGAAAACAATACCTTGTGAAGGTAAGAGAAGTGGGCTGAGAAAGACATGGTTTTTGAAGCTTAAGACCTCCACCAAGTCCATTGATCTGGGACTTGAGAGTTGATGAGCAAAGTGAAGCAGCTGACATCTTTTTCCCTCTGAATCTCTGTCTGTGGCTTCAACGGTTAGTTGGTGCCGTAGTGAGAAAAAGGTTTGGTCTTTTCTTTCTTCTAACTTTCTCTCCTTGCCTTCCCACCAATCCTTCAGCGCAGGATTGAAAAAGAAAAATCTCGGAGAAATTCAGGAAGAAAAAAACCTGTGGGCGACACGTGTCACCACGGTTTTTTTTGTCTCCGTGCGTGTGTGTGTGTGGATTTTCTTATCTGCAATGGTTGGCGCTCTATAGCTGTAATTTGCAAGTGGCCAAAGGCCGTTCGCTAACGTTGGGCTCTTGTCCCCATACTTCTGTTGAAAACATAGTTTTTCTTTTTTTAGTCGATACTGTTGAAAACAGACTTAACAAGAATTTCAATTTGTCCACCTAATTAAGGGTGCTGAAATGTTTTTCTTTCACTAACTTACAGGTCAGTGTGACAAAATTGGATAATTTTGTTTCCACTAACAAATCACCTTAAAATGAAGAGAAGACAACCTGTTAAGCAAACAGAGAGAAGAGCTTGGTATATTTGGCAATGGTTAGGTGAATGCAACTACTTAGGCTTCAGTTGTAAACACAATCTGTAATTAATTCAAAATCACCTTCAATTGGAATTTGTTTGAAACCATGACCTATTCATACTCTTCATACTAGTAGTCGTGAGATTCTCCGAGTTATGTATAAAATCTCTACTAGAGTGTTGATCAATCGAGTGCGTATTCATATATTAAAGAAATTTTGAAATGGAGTAGAAAAATGCGCAAGCATGCTCTTTGGTGATCATGGTACTTGTTATTCACTTTATATGCAAGTGCAGATGATCAATGTTACCAAATTTGCATTGGCACTTGTAAATTGCTACCTCAGCTTTGTGTTCAACTATGCATATATAGGGCAATAATGCCCACATCCAACTCAAAATGTTGTGAACCATCTTAACTATATTGTAGACTTGGTTGCTCTATTGACCAATGTGTCAAATATAATAACGATACTCTCCTTTTTCCTTTTCTTTTCCCTTTCTTCTTCCGATATATCATCGCATTTTTTCTCTTTTGACTGCCTCGTATATCAACATTTTTGTTTGTGTTTTGTGATGCCAGATAAAGAGAAAATGCATGCATGACTGCTCCAACAAACAAATACTGCAACATGAAGCATCCGAGAATTCTCCAAGAAATGTATATAGTGCAACATCAAAGCTCCTAGTCCCAATAATTACATACAACATATCGATGTGGTTCGAACAAGGCACATTTATGATGTTATTGTATTGAAATAAAGTATATATGGTTTAATAAAGTGAGACCTTGTTGAAGTGATTTCTAAGGAACATCCAATCGTTTTCACATTTCAAAACCCATTAAAAATGAATTGACTTGGATTAGATTGGATAAGGTGGATTGGATTGAATATGAACACCCCATCATTCTCTCTTAGGGTAGTCGAAATTTCACATTTTATAAAAGATTACGTTAATTCAACTATAAATAGAAATTTCTACGTGTTATCACAGTATCATACGCTCATACATTCATAGAACAAAAGCAAAAGAATAATATAGTATCTTGATAAGAAAAAACATAACATATTAAATTTATAAATATTGAAAATGCTTCATGGATTTTATGTTAAGAATTTCTAATCTTAATCATTAGATTGCATGTATGGTGCATATTAAACTCACTAACACATCTAATGGATGGTTGAGATTAGAAATCCTTAACCAATCATTAACTTAAAATCATAAATATTACTAAACTTGTTTTGAAACCTCAAGGGGTATACCTCAGTTGGTTCAACTCTTCCACATCCACCCACGTGGGCAGAGGTTCAAAACCCTAAGGCATCCAATGAATATTTGAGTAAACTCCTATTCCCCAATCTCTTGTTTTGAAAGGTGTAAGTAAAATCATTGGGTTCCCAGCTGAAAAAAAAATCACTGGGTCTGGCTTGGGCCACAAATCCATTCGGGATTTTTAACATTTGATCCAGCCCACAAGTTTTGGATTTAAGGAGCCAAGTTCAGTCCCTAAATCAAAATGATTAGGCCTTTTTGCCCACGTGAGGGGTTGGACTTTAGTCCACTCTTTGTAGCCTGGAGTGTCCCAACGATGAACATGGCCGCACCGACATATCAAATGTAAATTTTTGGACGTGCCTGCCACTATTGGCTATCTATCCGATTGTAGGAAATCTTATTCAATACCAATTGTACTGTATCCCTGCCACCCCGGCTTCTTCTTCTTCTCCCCCAAACCTGCAAGTTCAACTTCACAGTCCAAAACCAGTCATAGGAAGCACAATTCTACGATCCAACTCACCCACCCATTGGTCCAAATAGACCCAGATCAGAATACTATTGCGTCAAAGTGGGCCTGAGCTGGGTCTTGGCAATACCCAGATGAAGATTTTCAGAAAATGAAGAGGTTCAAGCAAAACCTTGATGGTGATCATTTATCTACCCACTTGGATTTGGATACCCGTAATGCTCTGAGGGACCCGGATAGGAAATCTGGTTTGAGTTCGATGAAGGTGATGGGGATCTTTGTGGCTGGCTTGATTGTGTTTTCGGTGCTCTTTTCAGTGAATGTGGTTCTCAGAGACCCACCTTCGGATGCCGTTTTTGAAACTTCAAAAGCTCGAGTTCTTGAAGTGGAACACAGAAAAGGTAACTGATTTAAGCTCAATTTTTAGTATGATCTAGTTGGATTTGGTTAATTTTAATTTCACTGTGATTTCTGTACCAATTTTAAGTCTTTAGTTTAATTGGGTTTGACAGATTTTTTATTGGGTCATATAATGAAAGAACCACAATTTGATTGACGTTCTCGAAGCTTTTGCATGAGCTGCACTATAGTTCTTGAGAGCAAGTTGAACTTAAGGACTTGAGGAACTTTTACTGCTTGCGGTTTGGCAAACTTTTTGGCCTTTTCTACTACTTCACCTTTTGTTTTCTTAGTGCCTTTAGATTGGCTCAAATCCTGCACTTCGTCAGCTACATTGGCTGATTTTCATCCTTTGGTTTCTTGTGGGTTGGAGTCGATACGAGTATGTCCTCTAAAATGGAAGAAGTGCTGTTGGTTGTTAAATTACTGCTCTGTTTCCATTTCTGACTACTTTGTTATCATATTTAGTTGTCTGCTATGTTTCCATTTCCAACTACTTTGTTTAATATATGTGTTATCACATTTAGTTTCTTTGTTTCAATCTCCTTTTGTGTTTTTCTTTGTGTTAATTTTTTTCTTTTGCTTTCAAATGCTGTCACTACCCACTTTCTTTGGTTATTCTCTTAGTGCCAGAAAATTCATATGCAATCCATACTTGTGAGTCACATGATGCAGCTATGATGGTGATATAAATCCCTTAATAGGTTGTTCTAGTATTCGTAGGTTCTGATAATCTACTTCTGAGTGATGCATATATGTAAAGTTCCTGGTCTGTCTACTTCTGTCAAGCTTCTAACATTGCATCGTTCTTTTTTCATTTTGCAATTCATAGATTCAGAAGATCAATTTTCAGAGTCTCTTGATGTGCCAAAGGATAAATTGCTTAGAGGCCTTCTCACTGATGGATTTGATGAGGGATCTTGTGTCAGCAGATACCAGTCAGCTTCATATCGTAAAGAACTGCCATACAGACCCTCTTCTTACCTTATATCCAAGTTACGAAGCTATGAAGCTCTACATAAACGGTGTGGACCTTATACTGAATCCTATAACAAAACCTTGGAACAACTCAAGTCTGGCTATCACACAAGCTCCCTGGATTGTAACTATGTGGTATGGATTTCCTTTAGTGGATTAGGGAATAGGATATTGACCTTAGCTTCAGCATTTCTTTATGCTGTCCTGACAAACCGGGTTTTACTAGTGGACCCTGGAGTTGACATGGTTGATCTCTTCTGTGAACCATTTCCAGAAGTCTCGTGGTTCCTCCCCATGGATTTCCCCCTTAAGAATCAGTTTGACAGCTTGGATCAGAAATCACCTCACTGTTACGGGAAGATGCTGAAGAAGAATAGCAACTTTACAAATTCCGATGGTTCAGTGATGCCATCTTTTGTATATCTCCATCTAGCCCATGATTATGATGATCAAGATAAGCTTTTCTTCTGCAGCCAAGATCAAACTTTTCTCCAAAAGATACCGTGGTTGATCATGAAAACAGATAACTATTTTGTCCCATCTCTTTTCTTGGTCCCATCTTTTGAGCGAGAACTAAATAATCTCTTCCCGAGGAAGGAAACGGCTTTCCACTTTTTGGGTCGATACCTTTTCCACCCCACAAATGTAGTATGGGGACTTATTACTAGATACTATAAAGCTTATTTGGAAAAAGCAGATGAACGAATAGGCATCCAGATCAGAGTTTTTGATACAGGAACTGGCCCCTTTCAACACGTGTTTGATCAGATCCTAGCCTGTGCGGTGAAGGAGAATTTGCTACCAGAAATCAACAGGCAGGATTTCATCGTCAGTCCATTGGGAACCCCAAAGTCTAAAGCTGTGCTGATGACATCTTTAAGTACTGGGTACTTTGAGAAGCTCAGGGACATGTATTGGGAGCATCCTACTGTGACAGGGGAGGTGATTGGCATTTATCAGCCTAGTCATGAGGAGTATCAACAGACCGAGAAGCTAATGCACAACCGCAAGGCATGGACCGAAATGTACTTACTAAGTTTGACAGATGTGCTGGTCACAAGCTCATGGTCAACCTTTGGGTACGTCGCGCAGAGTCTTGGAGGGCTGACACCATGGATACTCTACAAACCCGAGAACAGGACAGCACCTGATCCACCTTGTCAGCGAGCCATGTCAATGGAGCCTTGCTTCCATGCGCCTCCCTTCTATGATTGCAAGGCCAAGACAGGAGTGGACACCGGCAAATTAGTTCCTCATGTGAGGCATTGCGAGGATATGAGCTGGGGTCTTAAGTTGGTTGATAGTTAAGATGAGTTGTAGCTGCGTTATATGTCTGTTTTTTATTTTATATATATCCAAAGTTAGTAAGGCTAAGGGAGAGTGGGAAAACTCACACACACGGGTACTGTGGGGGTTTGAACCCAAGACCACTTGGAAGCACACCAAAGGCCTGAGTCAATCTGACTGACACTCCACTGGTAGCTGGTTTATTTGTCTGTTGTAACCGTTTGATCATGAATAACAAATTTGCATTTTTTTTTTCAAGTACACCAACACACACACACACACACACACACACACACACATATATATATATGTATCATCTCTACAAAAAATCACTTGAATCCGATATCATTTGATCACTCAATTGAGTTTTTGAAATTTTAGTTCTTTCTTGAAGCACCGTGTTCATTGATTTTGTAGGACACAATTGGATGTCGAAACAGTTTTCGATTTGTCTAATTTTTTGCAAGGATGATCTATAAATATAGACTTAAAAAATAGATGGTTTGGATCGTTGAAAATAAATTCGTAGGATACCTAAAGTGTGTTCCTTAAATAAAATTATTTGAGGAATCCCTCAATAGTCTTGAAGGAGACTGAATATATATAAATATATATATATATATATATATATATATCATTGGCAGTATATTCAACCTTTTTATGATTCAACAACAACAATAGCAATTGAGAATAAGGGGTCAGTCAACCAATCTCAGACATTGAATTGGTATACATTTGATTTGGTTTTGCTGTAATTATGTAATTGGATGCTTAATTGATTTTGTAGTTAAGTTTTTGCTTGAATTAGTTGACCTTTGACAAGTACCCACCAACTCCAAGTCCAAATCACGTAAGGCACTGTTGGCTTGAATTAGTATAACAGAAGCAATGATATATCTTTATATATATACCGGGTACAAATGCTAAACTACATGAAAATTGCAATAACCCATAATCCAAAATTGACAATTAGATAAAACTAATTTCTTCCCAACTCATCATTCGTCATATAGAATAGATGCTGCAACACCACCTTACATTACAGGTTTTTTTTTTCTTCCACTCGTAATCCTTCCCTCCGCCATCGCCATGTTTTCGGTTTCCGGTACTAATTGGGTTTGTTTTTGGTGATTGGCCTTTTCATGATGCATGGCGCCCATTTCATGCTACATGGCGGCTACTCCAGCTTGGCTACTCTCTGCTAAACCCAATAATATTACGACAAAATAAATTCAAAGGCTATAAAAACACTTAGAAATGCACACAATTGAAACTTTGATTCATGGTCATTAAATAAATAAAAAGATTTCACTGTAGACGCATTTCTTTCACCTTAGCCATGGGCAAGCAAGAAGCTTACGATGAGTCCCCTCAGGCCACTTCCAGCAGCCCCCGAGGGCTCGGGCTGGGGGGAGGGGGGGCAAGAGCCCAAATGCAAGTTCCAGCAACAAAGGCTGGTTCGGGTCCACGAGCCTAGGCTGGCCCGAAGGCAGGAGAAGCCCGAGCTACAGCCCGAAGGCGCGCTGACGTCAACAGGCGCAAATCAAATTTTTTTCTTTCCACTGCCACATGGCGCAACCTAGTCCTTGCGATTTCCGATTTTTCATCCAATCCAACGGCCTAGAATTTTTCAAGGCAAAAAATTATGAAAAAAATCGTAAAATTTTATAAAAAATCCCAAAAAATATTGATTTTTTTTTCTATAAATGCCAATCCATAATCTTCACTTTTAACAACAAATTCACTTTCTACTCAATAATTTTTTCACTTTCAACTCTAAATTTTTTTCACTTTAAAGTTTAATTTTTCTCTATCAAAGAAACTATTAAATAAAATTCCTTTTTATTCAAAACATTCCATACATAAAAAACAAACTAACCACAACCAAAGCATTAAATATATAAAAACAAACAAACCACAACCAAAGCATAAAAAAACCAAACAGAACTAAACATAAACACATAAACATTAAAATCTTAAAAATGTTCTTCACTTCACTTCATTCACCGTCATTATCATAAAATCTCATCCGAAAAATATTGTCAAAATTAATTGTTTAGGTAAACAAATTTGTGAAAAAAACAAAAAATTGAATAGTACCCCCCCTTGCCATGACAACTGTTGGAAGTGCAACTTACTTTTTGTAAGGGCAGACACTATTCTCGTGAATAGTGTCAGCCCTAGCCCTCCCTTGCCATGACAAGATTCCCACTGCTGGAAGTGCCCTCATGGATAAAAAAACTGCTTATCATGTTCATCTAAAGTGGTTTCTTCTTGTTTTGACTGATTCTTACTAGTCACACTCTCCTATTCTATAGGTTCGTAATCTCCACACTCACTGAGTCATAATAATAAAAAACCTTATTACATTCAAAATATAAATTAATTCCAACATACATATGTAATTTTATTGATGAAAACACAAGTAACATGAAGATAACTTACGCCGTGAAGCAGAACTCAAGCGAGAACCATTCACGGCCCTTGATATCCACAGGACGAACATGTGAATGTATGGTCTTGATCATGGATCTTCCCCCTTTTCCAACAATAATTTGAAACGTGGTGATACAAAGATATTGAACCACAGGACATGCTTCACCATTGGGACTGCCAGTCTTAACATGAGAAAAGTCTTTGTTGCGCAAATGAACCAAATACCCTGTCTTAAGCTCACAAAATGACACTAGTGGATGAACAATCTTCAGGCCACGCAATATAAATTTTGGGCTTAGGTAATATGCAATGCCATCGTCTTCACCTTTGTCCATCCTAAATGAGAATGCTATAATCACCTCCTCCATAATCGCATGTAAGGCATAGATAGTGTTGCCTACAACCACGGCCCTCCCTCGAAAAGAAGCATAAGAAGTGGAAGTCACTTGATTCCATTGGTTTCTACTCTCATGAAATGCAACCACATATGAATTCATGTAGGAGTCCGACAATGAAAACAAAATAACGCCATAACAAACGGCATAACCAATTATTTCAGTATGGCTCCCATAGTCATGATAAAATGGAAAAGAAATCATTCGCTCCCAAAGGTCTTGATCATGATCATATCTCTCGAAGGAGGGCTCCTTAATTGTTGATGAGCACCATGGAGTTGCAACATAGTAAAGCTTGTCATAAGCAGACACAAGAGTTCCTACTGGTTTAGAGGCTATGCTTGGAGGAAGGGATGAACAATATGACCCAGTCTTGGTATCAATACTATATCCTAACGGTCTGCAAGATTTGGCTCCGCGAGTTGTGTTATAACCGTCTTGTGGAATGATGTATAATTTTGGAGTAGTTGAAAATCCTTGCACCTTGAATGTTAAAATTGTCATAGTACTCCGCCACAATTCCAACTTCTAGGGGTTCATGAGCGACTCCTCCATGTTTGAATGTCACTTTATAGATTGAATCAGTGTATTCGCCATCATAAAAAGACACAAATAATATTTTCAAACACCTGCCTACATAGAGAGATTTAATGAATGAAGCAAGGTAAAGGCTGCACCATTTACTTTAGTAAGCATATATACACATAAACAACTGCAAACAAAACAGTAAATATTAGAGTAATAGATCGATCGTAGTTAAATGCAAAGTTCAATTCATAGAATATATATATATATATAGTAAAATATAACATCCGATTCCTCAGAAAATATAACACATTTTTGCAAGAAAACACTCAAATGAACAGATAAAGGCGCTCGAAATAGGAGATGGTAATCCAATTCAATTTCAAGAATATGCTACACAAGTGAACTGAATGGCAGCAAAGAGATATAAAACCTCTTGTAGCATCAAGATAGCCGTAAAAATAGTCCAACCAAGAATCTTTAAATATAATTAAAGATGCATGCAAAATTCTCTTAAAAACTAAACAAAAAGAAATTTAAAAAAAAAAAAAAAAAAAAAAAAAAAAAAACCAACATAAGCAACAAATCAACACATTTTACAGAGAACAAAATTTAGAAGATAAGATAGAAATCCGCTAAACCCATAATGCACTGACCTTGGGTGAGGATTGAAGGGCTCACGGTTGGGACTGTCGTCAATCACCGTGAAATTTGGAGTCTTCGTGGATTGAATGGGGCTAGCATTACTGGAGCGTATTAGACATTGGGGGGACTTTGAGCAGGTGGACGATGAGCATTATTTGGATAGTAAAGAAGTGGACATTGAGCAGGTGGACGATGCTGCTAGAAGCCATTGGGGGGACTTTGTGGATTACCTTCACCGCCGGTTTAAAATAATAAATTGACTTTATGTTGGATTGGATTTTATGTTGAATTTTCTTAATCTATTACCTTTAAAAAGCTATTTTCAGCTAGATGAGGGTGGTTTAATAAACAATTGTCCTAAGCTTAATTTACCTAGTTTCTGAGCATTTTGCTGTTGGGATTGTCTGTCTCTCTTCTGATTTATAAGTACTATGACTTGACATAGTTTCTAAGCTTTACCTACTTCCTCTCTGGAATTTAGGTAATGTTCGTCCTTTATTCCAAGCAGAAGAGTTTTTGTACACTACCTCAATGACAAGGATAAGAGGGAAATCTTACCTGATTAACTGTACGATGTAAATGGATGGTGGACGATTGTTCAGCATGAACACTGACAATGTCAGAAGAGTGGGTGCTGCTACTGCCCTAGTTTGTTTATCTTCATCTAGCTAGCCCATCATTTTGATGTTCAAGTTCAAATCTTTTTCTGCAAGGAAGAGCATAATTTTTTCTCCAATAACTTTGATTTAAACTTTCTGAGATCCTTGAGGCACCATATGTTAAATCCCTAGACGTGCGATTGTATCGACATTTATGGTTGTTTACATCCTCTTCTTTTTTTTTTTTTTTTTTTTTTTTTAATTTACATTCCAACAAATCTTTTGTCTTCTAATTTACATCTACCATATAAAGCAAACTTTATGACTAGATTTTCAAATTACCCAAAATTTCCCTCATTTAAGAAAAAATTTCAAAATACAATTACTTCATTTTATTGGGACAAATAGGTCAAAACAATAAACTATTAAAATGTGAATAATTAAAAGATAAAAAAGAAATAAGAGTTCTCTATTGATAAAAAGAAAAAGAAAAGCCTATTTAGTGTACATGCGTCATGCCTACAATTTGACGCTGTTGGAGTGAGACCCGGGTTCAGTAACGAAGTTAGGCTCAAGAAACAAAGAGAAGATGTGTACGAATGAGATATCCCGCAACAAGAAGAAGGAAAAGGTGTCACACCACGGACCCTGGGGTCGGTGGAAACCCCGCGCCCGGTGCATAATAAAATAAAAACTAAAATAAAATAAAAAGATGCCGAAATATGGGTTTAAAGTAAACTTCTCTTATAAAATATAGCAACCAAAATCTTACAAATTTACAAGAAATAAATAAAGCTCTATCACTCTCATCTAATTCAGCCTCAACCGATTTAGTCATTGTCTTGACCACTAATCATCTGAAAAATTAAACAGGGTGAGGGATGAGCAACCACCGCTCAGTGAGTAGATTATGTAATATACCAGTCAAGCAATGCCGTTTTACAAACTCTATAAAATATCATGAAAAGACACACCAATCCAAATCATATCACATCATCCCTTCATATCTCGGTTATCCTTCATAACATGTAACCAACCACGTGACCCCTATTGGCATTACTGCCCTATGTCCCTGTGTGGTACATCTATCCTTCGGATACCTCAACATTTCTCATGTTCCATGAATAATATATACTTCACAAATATTCCAATTAATATATATATATATATAGTGTGACAGATTGCGCCAAATTAGACATGCTTGACTTAAAATAGAGAGATATTTGTAAATAGAACAAATCCACGATAATTCATGGTTTTCATATTTTATCACAAAATAAGAACTTTTAGAACATATTACATAAACCATTCACCTCGATAATGAGAGCCCTTAAAATAAATTGGCAAGACAGCCTATCCATCTATCTTCATGTACTACCACGCATGCCATGAAAACAATAATAGGAAATGGCTCCTATTTCATAGGCGGCAACTAGTTTCCTTCAATTGGTCCAATGTATGACAGTTGATAAGGTTTGGCTCCAAGTTTAGATAGTTGTTATTGGAGTGCCAACACCTCATGCTCAAATAGAGCTTACTCATCTAGGTACAATGACACTTGGAGTCTAAAGTATGTTTTGGATAACAACTAAGCTATTGAACTTGGTCGGCAAGAAACAAAGAGATAAAGCTATCAAAAACAATACATATAAATATTACTATTTTTAATAACTAATAAGATAAATTTCTGAAAATATAACACGTACTAAGATAATTATATATATAAGTTATAAGCTAAATATGTAACAAAATATTTAATTTTCTGAAACATAATATATATATATATATATATATATATATATTAAAAATACAGGGTTTCACAAAAGGATTCCTTCCAAATAGCCCAGAAAATGACAGCCATCAAAAGGCCTAAGCACATATAGCCTTGGCCTGTCCAAATGATTTGGCGAACTACTACGATCTATAGATTCCCCATCTATATTCAATCCCAACGAGAATAGAAGCGAGTCGCTTCCGGCTTGGCTTGTAGTCATAGTCTTTTAGCTTATGTAGTGGTCGACCTTCCTACACGCACGCGCCAATGAAATCCCAATGCACTGAGTCGTAGGCGTTCTTCAAATCCATTTTGATGGCACACCGAGTTACTAATGCAAAAGAGAGATCGGGAATGCCAAGAGGGAAGGAGTCTCGTTGTTCATATTTCCTCCTATTCTGATGGCAGTAAACTAAACAGAAGGCGGGGACAATAATGCCCATGAATTCGAATGTTGGCAGTGTTTGCTCTCGTAAGATGTCGTTTTCACAAAATCTATCACCAAGGAAGATGGAAAAATTAGAGAAGGGCTATGATGTTCATGTGTGATCATGAAATATTGAAATATTGCCACGTATCTTTTTTTAAAATGACATATTGTCATTTCAATTTTAGGTTTTAGTTTTTATTTTTTGTGCTAGATTATAGAGGAAGATGAGAGTGAGAATGGGAGTGAATATGAGATTGAGAGAGAGGATGAGAGGGGATGATGGGAGGGAGGAGTAACAAAAGTGAAAACAAAAACTTGAAAGTGAAAACAACTTCAAATAGATTTCAGTTTTTAGTTTTTCCTTAAACTTTTGTTACTTTTCCCTCCCATAGTATCAAAATTAAACTTGAGAGATTTAATGAATGAAGAAAGGTCTAAGCTAGAGAGATTTAAAAATAGAAAATTAATAGAAAATTTTAAAAAATAAAAACAAAAAAAGTAACAACAACAATGTGAATGAAGGACATCAACAATTTTACAGAGAAACAAAAATTAAGAAGATAAGATGAAATCCACTAAGCCATAATGCACTGACCTTGGGTAAGGATTAAAGGGTTCACGGGTGGGACTTTCGTAAATCTCCGTGAAATTTGGAGTTGTTGTCCTTTGGGATTGACTGAGGCTAGCAATACTGGCGCGTATCAGGCAAAGCTCCTCCATTATGGATTTCTGTTGGGCGAAAAGCTCGGCTAGAGATTTCTCCACTTCCGATTGACCAGGGGTGGGCTCAGCGGTGGAAGCCATTGTCAAGGTGATTGCCGGCATGTGACTGACTGGTTGAACGAGGCCACAACTACTGGCGCTTAGTAAGCTAAGCAGCTCCAATATTAATGTTTGCAATTCGAACTTTTGGGTTTTCTCGATCTCTGATATCTTGTCGAGAGATTTCTCCATCTCCGGTAAGTTCCCCTGGACATCATGTTGGCGTGAAGCCATCGTCAAGGCATGGCCTTGATCCGAGGTGAGACCAACGGCGGCGGTGGAAGGTTGAGATTTTTTCGAATACTCCATGATACCAGATGAGGCACAGGGAATTTAGGGTTTGTGGATAATTTTTATGTCTCTTGTAATTATACCATTGTTCAAAGACCCAAACAAACTTCTCAATCAACCATTCTCAGACATTGAATTCATATACATTTGATTTGGTTTTATGTAACTGGATACTTAAATGATTTTGTAATTAAGTTTTTTCTTCAATTAATTGACCTTTAACAAGTAAATAAATTAAAGTCGAAAATAAGGCACTTGTTATAAAGAAAAAGAGTATTAAATTATCAAAACAAAGATAAGACATTATAGTATGAGTGTTGCTATTTTCACCCCCATGTCTTGTTTCCCAACCCACCTTATTTTCAAATTTTTAAAGACAAATTTACTCTATAAAATGACTTCTAAGGACTTAAAGAAAAAGCCTCAACACATGTTAATACTCTCTCCTTTCATCTTCTTCTCATTGCCTCTGCAAATCATAGATGGTTTGATTTTTGGATTATAAAATAACAAAGAAAATTTGAAAAGAAGAAGTGGTTGAAAATTACACGCAATCACTTCCCAAAAATGCAAAATAATTACCCACTGAACCTTGTTTTTCATACTCATCATGTTATTTTGTATCTTCTTGATTTTTCCCTCACCGACTCCAGTACACGATGCTCTTTGTACTGTCTGAGTATGGGTAATAACATATATTACTGGAATTTTTATGCCCATAAGAAAGAAAAAAAAACACAGATAAATTGTGTGGGATTTTCCCATGCTAGTGATTGGTCATGAAGATCGATGGATTAATAATTAAATAATTTGCTTGAATTAATAATTAAAGGGTAATTTAGGAATAGTGGTGGGTAGTAAAACACGATTGTGTTATTTCAAATTTACATGGTGGGTGGAAAGATAAGGTGAATGGAAAAATAGGACCAGGGGTGGAAATAGCAGCACTCTATAGTATTTTCCTTTATTTTTTCATTTAATTTTATATGCTATCAAGAAGCATATACAAGTTTTAGGCTCTACAGCTCTGGCACATTGGATCAAATTGAAAGTCAACAAATTTACTTTGCCGCTAGAGACCTAAGAATATATGCAAAAATATAAATTCTTACCAGAAATCAATTATCACCAATCCATAGATTAACTAACCCTCCCATATCGTAATTCAATGAACAGATATATATTAAATTTACATATATGGGGGGCAAATAGCACTGAGAACTTAGGAAGATATGCAGCAAATGCCATGCCAATAATCTTGGTACATATATGCTTAACTCACTCCTCACAAGAAAATTTGCAATAACCCATAATCCAAAATTGACAACTATATAAGCAGTTTCTTCCCAACTCATCATTCGTCATATAGATGCATGAAACACCTTCTTACATTACAAGTTAAATTCCTTCCACTCGTAAATCCATCCCTCCCGCCATGTTTTCGGTTTGCGGTCCTAATTGGGTGTTTTTGTGCTTGGCCCTTTCACGATGCATGGCGCCTTATACTTCGAGCTTCCCACTGCAAAACTCAATAATATTACGAGAAAGTAAACCCAAGGGCTACAAAAACACTTGAAGAAACGTATACAATTGAATCTCTTGATTCATGATCATTTAAATAATTATAAAGATTTCATTGTAAACACATTTCTTTCACCTTAGCCATGGGCAAGCACGAAGCTTACTTCGAGTCCCCTCACGGATCAAAAACTCCTTATCATGTTCATCCAAAGTGGTTTCTTCTTGTTTTGGTTGATTCATACTAGTCACAGTCTCCACTTCTATGGGTTCATAATCCCCGAACTCACTGAGTCATAATAATTAGAAATCTTATTACAAATAAAATGTAAAATAACTCCAACATACAAATGAAACTTTATTGATGAAAGCACAATAACGTGAAGAAAACTTACGGCGTGAAGCAGAATTCAAGTGAGAACCATTCACGGCCCTTGATATCCATAGGATGAACAGTTGAATATATGGTTCTGATAATAGGTTTTCCTCCTCCAACAGTAATTTGAAATGTGGTGATACAAAGATATTGAACCACTGGAAGTGCTTCTTCATCGGGACTGCCAGTCTTGACATGAAAAAAGTCTTTGTTACCCAAATGAACCAAATACCCTGTCTTAAGCTCATTAAATCGCACTGGAGGACATGCAATCTTCAGGCCACGCAATACAAACAGTGGGTTTAGGGAATATGCAATGCCACCGTCTTCACCTTTGTCCATCCTTAATGAGAATGTTATAATCACCTCCTCTATAAGCGCATGTAAGGCATAGATAGTGTTGCCTACAACCACGGCCCTCCCTCGGAAAGAAGCATAAGAAGCAGAAGTCACTCGATTCCATTGGTTTCTACTCTCATGAAAAGCAACGACATATGGATTCATTGAAGAGTCTGATAATGAAAATAAAATAACGCCATAACAAACGGCATAACCAATTATTTTTGTATGGCTCCCACAGTCACGATAAAATGGAAAAGAAGTCATTCGCTCCCAAACATCTTGATCAGGATCATATCTCTCAAAGGAGGGCTCCTTAATTGATGGTGAGGACCCTGGAAGTGCAACATAGTAAAGCTTGTCATAAGCAGATACAAGAGTTCCTGTTCGTTTGGAGGCTATGCTAGGAGGAAGAGATGAACAATATGACCCAGTCTTGGTGTCAATGCTGTATCCTAATGGCCTGCAAGATTTGGCCCCGCGAGTTTTATTATAAACTTCCTCTGGAATGATGTATAATTTGGAGGGATTGAAAATTCTTGCACCCTTGATGCGAAAACCGTCATAGTACTCTGCCACAAGTCCAACTACTGGGGGTTCATGAGTGACTCCTCCATGTTTGAATGTCACTTTATAGATTGAATTTGTGTATTTGATATCATCAAAAGACACCAATAAATATACAGATCTATCTTCCCCCTGATGTGTAGTGATCGATGCATGCTCTGGGCTGGACAGAGAGCAGAGAGATAGAATAAGTCAAATTAATATTTTCAAAACACCTACCTACCTAGAGAGATTCAATGAATGAAGCAAGGTCAAAGCTGCACCATCTACTTTAGTAAGCATATATACATAGAGACGAATACAAACAAAACAGTAAAAATGCCAATATCTTTGAATATAATTAAAGATGCATGCAAAATTCTCCGAGAAACTAAACAAAAAGAAAATTGATCCTTTCTTCTTTTTTTTTCTTTTTTTCTTCTTTTTTTGCGAATCAAGAACATCAACAATTTTACAGAGAAACAAAATTATGAAGATAAGATGAAATCCACTAAGCCATAATGCACTGACCTTGGGTGAGGATTAAAGGGCTCACGGTTGGGACTGTCGTCAATCACCGTGAAATTTGGAGTCGTCGTGGATTGACTGAGGCTAGCATTACTGGAGCGTATTAGACGAAGCTCCTCCAGTATTGATTTCTGCGTATCGGCCAGTTGGAGTTGCTGGGCAGAAAGCTGGGCGGATAGCCGTGCAGAAAGCTGGGCGGAAAGCACCTCCGATAACTTCGTCAGGGCACGGTATTCAGCAGGGGTGAGATCAGCGGCCGCGGAAGGCATCGTCAGGCTGGGACTGCAGGGTTGAACGGGAATATCATTACTGCCGCTCAGCCGGCGAAGCAGCTCCAGTATTGATGTTTGCGATTCGAACTTTTGGGTTTTCTCCATCTCCGATATATTGACCGGAGATTTCTCCATCTCCGGTAACTTCCCCTTTGGATCATATTGGCGGGAAGTCATGGTCAAGACATGGCCTTTACCCGAGATGAGATCAGCGGCGGCGGCAGATGGCTGAGAATTTTGCCAATGCACCCTGATACCAGATGATAAGGGCTTCGCTATTGAAATGCAAAGGCAAAGGGAATTTAGGGTTTGGGGATGCCGCTGTAGACGGGAGTTTTATTATGCTTGGCTGGGGGTGTGATATGAGGAAAGTTTCGTTATGCTTGGTTGGGGCGGTGTGATTTTATTTATTTTTTTTTATAAGGGGGCGTTGTGATATGAGGAAAGTTTCTAACTCGTGTAAAATTCTAGCGGCTGGCTGCTATTCTTTTTAGGGAGTTTCACTAAAATACCCAAAATGAGGGCTGAAATTATAAAAAAACCCAACACCCAAAACACTTTATAAACACACCCAAAACTCATCATTACACACACTCAAAACCCATTTATAAACACACCCAAAAAATATACAATTGTTGATTTTGGGTGTGTTTCTATGTTTAAATAGTGCTTGAGTTTTTTTATAAATACATGTCTAAGATTGGGTTTATTTATAAATTTGTATTCTTTTTAATTATATTTATAATAAAAAAAACATACACACAACTCATAAAATATTATTTATTTATCCTATTTAGTTTCCCTTTTTAAAATTTGTGTTTTTGTTACCTGTTTTATTATGCAATGTTTTTTATTACCCCTTTTATGATATTTGAGTTTGTTACTCGTTTTATGAGATTGGGGCTTTAATTCAACTCTATATATTCTGTCATTTGCTTTATATATATATATATATATAGATAATCTGCGGTTCTCCTCCTTGGATCTTTCTTTGACTCAATATCTCTTGGGAGTTTCACTAAAACACCCAAAATGGGGGTTGAAATTATAAAAAAACCCAAGCACTATTTAAACATATAAACACACCCAAAACCCATTATTATACACACTCAAAACCCATTTATAAATACACCCAAAAAGCCCTGGGCCAGAGCCTATCTGAGCCCCTCTATAGTTCTGCCTTTGAGACGCATAAAAAACTTCATGCATGTTAATAAAAAAATGACATATTCACGCTCTAAGAAAAATAATAGGATCCATAAAAAGCTTCATACACACGCATAAAAAGTGTCATCTTAAGGATCAAAAGTTTGTTCTACTTTCCTATTTTCAGCTTGAGTTAATTTTTTTTGGTAGTTAGTTTCAAGTTTGACTTGCAGATGAAGAGGAAGAGAAGGGAGGAAAAATTTTCCCCGTAAAGACGCAATGAGAAATAATGATTTTTTTTCATCTAGCAATTGCAGAGAGAGAAAATATAAAGAGTGGAAATATAAATGTAAGAGAGAGAAAATAGAGTGGAAATTTTAATTAAAGATTCATTTCAGTACATAATGATTTTTAAAAAATAAGAATTAATTTGTCCTGTGATATTTAATCACATCTATTCATAGTGTTACAAATGCTTAACTATATGAAAATTACAATAACCCATAATCCAAAATTGACAATTACATAAGTAATTTCTGCGGAACTCATCATTCATCATATAGCTCTGCATGCAACAGCTTCTTACATTACAGGTTTTTTATTATTTATTATTATAATTTATATAAATCTTCTTGGGCTTTTTCCTGTTAGTTTTTTCATGCTGCCTGGCACCTACTCATACTACGTGGCGGTCACTCCAGCTTGGCTTCTTTCTTGGCCTCTTTCTGCAAAACCAAATAATTATTTCGAGAAACTAGACTCAAAGTAAAAAACACTTATAGACAAGCAAATAATTGAGTCTCTTGATTTAATGTCATTAAATAAATAAAAAGATTTCATTGTAAACACATTTTTTTTTTACCTTTGACACCGGCGAGCAAGAAACTCGCTACGAGCCACCTCCCACGTCAAAACATTCTCATCCTGAGTTGTTTCATGTTCATTCAGAGTGGTTTCTTCTTGTTTTGGCTGATTCATATTAGTCATAATGTCCCCTTCTATGGGTTCATGATCCCCGCACTCACTGAGTAATGAGAAACCTTATTACATACAAAAGGTAACATAATTCCAACGTACAAACACAATTATAATAATGTAAACAGAAGAAACGTGAAGGAAACTTACGGTGTGAAGCAAAACTCAAGGAAGAACCAATCACGACCCTTGATATTCACAGGATGAATAGTTGACTGTATGGTCTTGATCATGGGTCTTCCTCCTTCTCCAACGACAATTTGAAAATGTGGTGATACAAAGATATTGAACTTCGGGACGTGGTTCGCTATTGGGACTGCCAGTCATGACATGAAAAAAAGTCATGATTACCCAAATGAACTAAATACCCTGTCTTAAGCTCACAAAACGGCACTGGTGGACACGCGATTTCCAAGCCACGCAATGTAAACAGTGGGCTTAGGGAATATGTAATGCAACCATGTTCATCTTTGTCCATCTTGAAGGAGAATGCTATAATTTGCTCCACCATAAGCGCATGTAAAGCATAGATAGTGTCACCTACAACTACGGCCCTCCCTCGAAAAGGAGCATAAGATGCAGAAGTCACTTGACTCCATTGGTTTATACTCTCATGAAAAGCAACGACATTGGAATTCAGGTCGGAGTCCCACAATGAAAACAAAATAACGCCATAACAAACGGCATAACCAATTATTTCCATACGGGTCCCATCATCATGATAAAATGGAAAAGAAGGCATTCGCTCCCAAAGGTTTTGAGCAGGATTGTATCTCTCGAAGGAGGGCTCCTTAATTGGTGGTAAGCACACTGGAGATG